ACTAGGGCCGAGTGGGCTGAGCAAGCCGAGCAGGCCGCGCAGGGCCGAGCAGCTGAGCAGGGCCGACTAGGGCCGAGCAGGCTGAGCAAGCCGAGCAGGCCGAGCAGGGCCGAGCAGGCAGCTGAGCAGGGCCGACTGGGGCCGAGCAGGCTGAGCAAGCCGAGCAGGCCGAGTAGGGCTCAGCTCTGGGCGGGGCCGACTAGGGCCGAGCAGCTGAGCCGGGCCGACTGGGCCAAGCAGGGCCAAGCAGCTCAGCAAGGCCGACTAGACCGAGCAGCTGAGCAGGGCCTAGGGCCGAGTAGTTGAGCAGGGCCGACCGGGGCGAGCAGCAGAGCAGGGCCGACTAGGACTAGGGCCGAGCAGGCTGAGCAGGGCCGACTAGGGCCGAGTAGTGCCGAGCAGGCTGAGCAAGCCGAGCAGGCCGAGCAGGGCCGAGCAGCTGCAGGGCCGACTAGGGCCGAGCAGGCTGAGCAGGCCGAGCAGTCGGACTAGGGCCGAGCAAGGCGAGCAGGCTGACCAGGGCCGAGCAGGCTCAGGGTTGAGTGGCCTCGCGGATAAGCAGACTTGGGTGTAAAATCGCGGACACACATGTGTATATATATATATATATATATAGTGTGTGTATATATATATATATTCATATGTTATATGACCTATACGCATCTAACACGTCTAGAGTCATGTTTAGAGATCGCATAAACCATATATATATATATAGAATATTCAGATACATCTAGATATACGCCCGGGCCCTCCTGAGTCCGGAGTAGGTCTATGGTTTTTTTGAGGTCTCACCACCATCCTCTGAGCACCGGTTCTTTGTTCTAGTCAACAAGCTTGCAATGCTGTTGATATGGCCGTTTTCCAATCCAAAACCAGAACCACTTTTAGAATTCAATATGACATATTGGGGATCAACCTGCCAAACAGCAGGGACAGATATACACCCTACCCTAAGGCTGCAAAATTATTGCCAAAGATTGTAATTTTGTTTGAAATGCAACACGAAAGTTAAAAGGCCTTAATCTGTCGAAAGACCGAAAAATCAGCGACCACAAATCTCCTCGCATCCGCAGCGCACGCCCCTCGCAATTGGATTGCAGATAAAGCCATGGAGGGCCTGCAGTGCAAGTAAATGGTGAGACCCTTGGCGGTCCAGTAAGAGAGTGCCAAATGGCAAAAAAGGCACGGAAATTCAATCCAACCCCCAAACATGTAAAAATCATGCCAGCAACCACAACTGTCCTAAACATGTGCTTTGAACCTTTGAGTGTGCTGTTATTATTGCAGTTCTCGCGGGTATTTTGGGAATTCTGCACGTATTGCGGGTTGTTTGGAATTTCCATGTGGGACGTGGTTGCTGACATGTTGTTTTTGTTGTGTATTTTGGGCTTTGGGGAATTCTCAAGGTTCTCTTTCGAAGTTTTGCACTAACTCAGGGTTGTTTGGGAATTTCCATTTTGGGATATGGTTGCCGATTTGTTGTGTTCTTGGATTTTGTTGTGTGTGTGTGGGGACGCCCGATGACGTACCTGCATCCTACTCTCCTAGGCGGGAATTTAGCGCAGTGCGTGTGTTTGTTTGAATTTTCCATGATTTTGGAAATTGCGCATTTACTGATGTTTGTTTTGTTTTGGAGATTCCATTCGGGACATGCTTTCTGACATATACGGATTGTGGTTTTTTGAGGATGTTGCGCTTCCTGAGTTGTTCTTGAATTGTCATTTGGGACGTGGTTGCTGACTTGTTTGGTATTTGTATTGACTTATCAAGGGTTGTTTTCAGAATTCAATTTAGTCATCAAAAAAAACAAGAATACACGTGTGGGGATTTGTTGCTGACATGGTGTTCGTGTTGCATCTTTCGTTGCTTCGAATTTTGCATTTGCCGCGTTTGGATGTCCCAATGTCCGATCAGAATGGGACTGTCCCCTACTATTGACAATTATAAATTTGATATTGCACAAAGAGTTATTTTTTCAGGTTTCCAGAACTTGGTTTAGTAAGGCCAATGTTTTTTTTTGTTGTATTGAATCCTTGGTTTTAGTATGGGCATTTTTTAGTTCAGTATTGCCAAGACTGAATCTCAGATTCCGACCTGTTGAATTTGACCCTTGCGGTCACCCACCCCTCTTGGTTGTCGTATACATTTGCAGTCAGTGATGGTCGTGATGTAGCAGAGAACTTTCCCTGAATGCCTCATGGCACCTATACGCATGTCCTATGTATTTTGTATGTATTCTCCGCGAATGTTTCATGATTTTTTCTGTGAATTGTCAATGCACTGTCACTGCGTTGTTTCTGCATTTCTATGCACTTGTTCACGCACTTCTTATGCACGGTTGATTTTTCTGTGTATTTCTTTTGCACTTCCCCTTGGTTTCTATGAATTGTCTATTCACCTTTTTGAACAGTGCATAAACAGTGCATCGAACTGGCGTACATAGTTCCTTGAAAACAAACATAAAACAAAATACAAAAAATAGAACATTCACAGCACGTTCATGGACTCCCAGGAACGTCAATCACATATCTTCAGAAACTTGGTTTTCGCCAGCTGCGAGGCAGCATCAAAGCCACGTGTATTTGCTCTATTCCCTGTATTTTACTGTTGCCTTCGGTTGATGTTTGGTAATTGGAGCAAGCCCTAAAGCCCTCCTGTTTCCCTAGCATTGCCAGTATTTCTCCTGGTTTGCTTCACGCTTTTTTTTTCCCGCAAAGAAGCATACTATGTCCTTAACCTCTTTGCAGTTGTCACCTGGTACACTGTGGGTAATGCTCAAAGAACATTTCATCAGCTTTGTTATCTTCATTGCATTTGCCTTTAAATGGTTCAATTGGTCCCTTGGTCAGGGTGGATGCTGAAGTTCCGGCCTAACAGAATCAAATTTGGTCATGCTTGATCCAACTTGATCAACACCATACATGTGAGCCAGTTTGATCAAACTTGATCAAGTTTGCACCAAATTTGATCAACATTTTTGTTGGAAGCATGCCGAATTGAGCTCCCCAGAAACGGAACACTCACTATTTTCCCTTGATATGGTTGCAATTTAGACACATCCCGACCCGACCATCCCGTCCGCCAGACCAATGATTTTGTGAGGTGCGAAAGGTTGTCATTTCGCACCCATCCGGACCGCCCCGAGCGCCGCAACAGTTGCCGCATGAGTTAACAACGGGCTGCTCCTTGCGGTGTGAAAATGGTTGTTTGCCCTACAAGGTCTGTAGGTTCACATTTGATATGTTTACTATCCCTCGAAAACGATTGCCTGGAGGCTGCAGTTTGCAAAAGGAAAGAATTCGGTTTCAGACATTGGCCAGCCGACCCAGACTGAGGCAGGCGGAAGCGCGCTGCAGACAGGGCTAAGAAGAGTCAGGGCAGCATTAGTGTGGCCGATTGTGTCGGGCTGGGTGTGCATGGGTGTGTGTGCGTGTGTTGATTTAGGTTTTTGTTGCTTGAATATTTACGTCTTTTGATGGACTTACTCTTGGTTCGTGTACCGTGTTGGTTGGTTGTGGCTTTGGGTTATGACTGGCGGCATGTTTCAGATAAAGGGTTGAGCTCGTAGCTATGATGCGCGTCTTTTGATCAAGCAAAGCGCAGTTTGTGTAACAAGACCTTAGGCAGGGCTCGCTCCTTGCGTGGAACCGTACACTGGTTTCAAGAAATACGTGGAACGATGAGCATAGACAGACATCCACTCGCTGCTACATGCCTCTGGGCACGCCCAGTAGCGTCAAATTGGGAGACGTGATTGCCATGCTCGTTTCATCCACTGTTGAGCGGTCGATTTGTCAAAGCCAATGTACGCAATCGCCGACATAATTTTGTTGAATCCCAAGACGAAGAGTTCAGTGTGCGAAGGCTTGCCTCTGATCAGATTATTCAGAGGGAGGCACAGAGCTTCGTAACCATGTCTCAGGTTGGTGGCAGGGCGTAGATATGTCAGGCGATACGTGGATTGGAAGAAGGCTCGCTGTGCCTTTAGCACTTTTGGGATGTCATTGTGGCTTCCCTCTTTTTTCAAGGCGCGGAGATGTTTGCTGCATAGCATGGGCAGTTGTAAAACTGCGTCGCTGCTTTGGCTCCAGGTTGAAACAGACATTGAGACCAGGTTGCTCGCAACCCTGAGACCTCTCACAAAATACATTTGCTTTTTGTAAGAACACCAGAAACATAGAAGCCCTTTGGAGGTGTCAAGCAATGCCGGGCTTGCTACAGGCCAGTCAGTGGGCTTGGGATTGGCATCCGCTGCCTCTGCCCAGAGCTCGGGCTCGGGGTATGTCCTTCTTCTTGATGCAGAAGGCCTAGGGAGGGAGACTTCGACCCATGTCTTTTTGGCTGGGTTTCCTTCTGACCGAGCGGGATTCCGCTTTGAGTTGATTCCGTTTTTGTGCCAAGGATTTGTTTGCAGGACACCGGTTGTTTCGCCTGTCTGGAATTTCCTTCCTTTCGGAGTTTTGGCGGATTCTCTTAGTCACCCAAGTTGCTGTTTGGTCCCATAAGCAAAGCTTCCGAGGGGCAATTGGAGGTCAAACCGTCGTTCCGAAGCAGTAGGCACTTTACAAGCAAGTTCGAACCTTGTGGCATGGCCATGTCTCCAACAGACCATATTGTATAAACGTAGAGTATGACGAGAGGCAAACAAGTCGCTTGGGGTCCTTCTAAGAACAGCCTTTCCAGGGTGTGTTTCTGAGGTTCCACAGGAGTCGCATGGGGTATCCCAAGCCCCGTCTGAAATCCGCTCCTTTGAGCGTCTATGAACCTTGCTTTGGAATGAAACGTGTGGGAATGGGGCACGTTGGAGTTTGATGCGCAGGGTCGCACAAGCGGCATTGGTTGCTAGATGAATGCTAAACAGCTCGGAGCAGTGCCTTGAGCCAAGCAGAGACAGAGGATGGTTCGTGGGGCGGTGTCCTAACAAGGCTTTCCCTAAGTTAGTTCGAAAAGCCATCGATTTGTCAAGTGTTGGACTGGATCAGGGCTACTTCGATGATATGGCGGAGTTCAACAAGGAGGGCCATGCCCTCGGCAAGCCCAAGATGCGGCCTGGGGGTGCGGACATGAGCGAGGACTGCAAGCGGCTCGGAGAGACACACCTTTCGCATTCCCATCAACGAGAGGGGCCGTTGCTCGGTGTTTCCCTGGAGAAACCAAGGGGTTTTGCGAACCTTTGTAAGCACGGCCGTTGGAGGTTCCCCCCATTAGCCCACGTTCCTTTCCACATTTCACTACCCCCAAACCATGATTAATGGAATATACAACCATGACAACCATAAGGGCATACAGCCCGTTTTCTCCTGGGCATAGGGGTTGGGGGGTAAGCGGAAGCCATTTGTCCGTGTGGATTTTGTCGAAAGCCAAGGAAGGAAGACAGGCTTCTGACAAAACGGCAGCAGCGCCTAGAGAGCGACCTCAAGAACGTGAGGAACCAGTTTGAGCCCAAGCTCATAACGGCTGCGGATATTGATGCGGAGGATCCCTTCAAAGCCACCTTCGAGGACCGTTGAGCTGTTGAGATGAATTTGCAGGGTTCTTTGTGCAGGTGAACTTGGGGCCGGAGGCATATGTTCATATATGCCGTACCACATGCTGCCATGCTCACTCTGTTGTTTCGTGCTTGCGCATTTTTCTGGTACTGGTCTGGAAGGCCAATCTCCTCCAAGGATCCTCTACATTGGACATTTGTGGCACCTGTCCCATCAGCGCAGACGCTCCCGTGGGGTTACTTCCCTTTTGGACTCGCCCCAATTGCCATAGGTGAGTCCAACAGTTGAGATGGTAAGAGCCGATATTGTGCGGCAGTGAGTCATCAGTCTCATCGGCGAGCAACATAGTAAATATCAGTGACTATCACCCACTGGACTCCCCTTGCTATGGCCCCAAATCAGCGTTTGAACTTGGGCCTGATACGTGGCGGTGAACCAGTGCAATTTGGGTTTTCGCGAAGATGTCACGCTGCGAATGGCTCAAACCATGGCTGCATGGTGGAAAACTACCAAAGCGTGCAACAATCACATTCAATCGCCAAAGCAATCGACAGCAACAAAGGGACGCATCTGGGTATCTAGGCACTTGGATAACCGATTTGGCTCTCGCGAGGAGGCGCCCAAGTTCTTCAAACAGGGCACCAACGTGCTGATCGCCAACCCAGAGAGGCCCGACTCAGAGCTGTTGGCGTGTCTCAAGGAGGAGGAAAAACGATGGCAGCTCTGCGGGCAGAAGGACCGGATTGAACTTTAGAATAGGTGTTCAACGTTATTTTTCACGGATGCAGTTGGATCCTTAGGATTCTCAGCTTGGGGTCAATCAAGCCAGATAAGGAGCAGGTGTTTGTGCAAATGAAAGATATACAAGAAGGGAACTGTTTAGTTTCCATTGAACAGGTGCGATTTTCGAGCTGGAGCTGCCCAAGTGTTCGCAAAACACAGCACCCTTAGCGGCGTTGCGGGGGCTTCTGCGGTGTGTGAGTGCTGAGCCTATGAAGCCTAAAGCACCACTCAGATGGGCTTGGCAAACTCGAATGCACCCAGTTCCGCTGGCAAAAACATGACATATTTCCACACACAGTATAAGACCTTGTCTTTCTGTCACGGTTTTCGTTGCAAGGCATTGTCCATGCGCGTGCTCACATGTTTGTGGCATGATAGAATGAATATGAAGCTGGTTGAAGACAAGCTGATTCGCTTTGGACGCCTCATGGGGATGCCTTGTGGGTGTCCCAGCTCCGAGCCTTCCATTTGGTCCGCTCTGGTTCAAAGGCAAATCTTATTAGTCTTTCTTTTCGACGAAAGGGGTTTCTTTGCAGCCAAATCGGCATGGATTAGGGTTGTACCCTCCAAGGGGAACCGCCAGACAGGTCGATTTGGAGCTGGGGCATCTTCCCCGTCCCATGGTTGTTGGATCTGCTGTAGAAACTCGGTCCAGGCAAGAGTGACTTCCTCGAAGTTTCCCCCCAGTGGTTTCAAGCCAAGCAACGACCCAGTTTTGAGGACCCCTTCAGAATGCAACCATGCACTTTAAGGGACCCGGTACATCATCAAACTACCACACCATACACCCCAAACGCACCTCCAGTGGGCTCTTTTTTGGTAGCCTAGGGTGGGTTTGGGGGCTCCCCTTGCCTCTGGGAGGAGCTGACGGAGGAGGGGAACGACTTCAGCTGCGACGAGAAGCGCTCGGAGGACTTTCACTGGCGGGAGGGGGACACGGTGAAGTTCCTCGGCACCTGCATCGAGCCCAAGCCCCTCAAGAAGGCCATCCGATGTCTTGCTTTTAGGGTTCCCCCCCCCTCCCCCCCAACAGGGATTTCGGTCTTCCTTTTGACTTGCCTTTGCACCAACCAGCAGATTTTGGCACCCTCAAAGAAAGACAGACCCGTGTGGGGTGAGCCCTTTGGACTCGTTGAGAGGCCTTGACACCGTGGAAATTGGCCAAGGTCACACAAAAGGACTCGATTTGCCAGTTTCCCTTGGTTTGGTCGGCATTTTTTCGGTTCGGAGCAATCCTACTTTAACTTTCAGCACCTCGCTGGGTCCCGATTTTGGGCGCACTGTCTCAAACGGGATCCCCCCAAAATGGATTTCGGCCGAGAATTTGTGAACCACGACCGCTCACGTTCCTTGAACTGGGTTGAACAACCATAGGGGTATGGGTCAAAATTAAGCCACCAGGGGACCGCTGGCTTTAGTCTTTGGTTCCATTTGCCAGGGTTCCCAAAATGGGTACCTATTTTTGACCCACAGCCATAGGACATGTTGACATGTGTGTGGTATTGTTCAGGCAATGGCGATTGATCCATGATGCAGCGGATAGTTGGCCCAACCCTGCTTGCAACAACTTTTAGATTGCGAGGTACCAGAGTTTGGCAGTGAACTGAATGCCACAGCACCACGATAATCTGGGTTTTGAGGGTGAACCTGCCAGGTCCATAGTCCTCCATTTTCTTGGCAACGCTCGGAAGGCCCTTCTTTCGGTGGAGACGCCCTACCTGCACTGCGCCTACCCCGACGGCGACATCCCCGGTCAGGACGCCCCCAAGGGCGCGGCCGGCGCGGAGGGCGGCGAAGCGGCACCGGAGGGCGGCGAAGCGGCGCCGGAGGGCGGCGAAGCGGCGCCGGAGGGCGGCGAAGCGGCGCCGGAGGCGGCGAAAGCGGCGCCGGCGGCGGCGAAAGCGGCGCCGTGACGCTGAGCGTTTCCTGCGGAAAAGAGCGGCCGGAAGGCCTGTTTGTGCGTCTTTGTTTGCAGAATGCAGTTTTATGAGGAGCACAGATCACTGTAGCTGTTGGGAAGTCCTTGTTTGATTGAAAATTGAGGGGATGCGGATAATATTTCGATTTCGGCGAAGATGGGCATCCTTGCCTGCATCATGAAAATGGCGCAGTGGAGCTATGGGTTGTGGGCAGTAGGCTACATTTTCAGTTTTGTCCCTGTTATTTGTGTTGAAAAGTTCGTTTGGCTGGACCAAACCTGGGCTTCTTCAACCTCCAAGTACTTTCCCCATGTATGGGTTGTAAGTATTTTATCCTGTGGTGGGTTGGTTGTTATTTTCCGGTGTCCAGCCTTTCTCCCAGAATTGTGTCGCTTGAGCATCAGCAAAGGGGTGGACCCCTCGCTTTCTGAGGATCCTCTACTGGCTGGAGACCAAATACGACGTCTTGCCAGAGGCCATCCCTGGGAAGGGGGAGGTTGACAAGTCCACTTCAAAGGAAGTGGACGGTCCCGTCGACATCGGGCCAATGACTAAGGGGCCAATGAGCAAGGGGCTCTACCCAAAGAAAGGAGGGTTACTCGTACAGTGCAGGTCTGGGAGTGTAGACAAATCGGTGCAACCATTTATGGTCAAAACTCCCATTTGCTTGGTTGTCATCAATCCTTTCGTTGGGATTTGAGACAGGCATGATAAGTATTCCTGTTAGGAAGCCATGATCACTGCCCACAATTCGTGGAGTTTTGACCATGGCTCATTGTGGAGCCTCACAGGTGGGTGCTGCTTTGCGAGGAACAAAGGGTCACTGGACACTTTCTGGGGTACCTGCCCGCGGTGAGGGCCATGCAGATATTTCTCTGACGACTTCTTTGCAAGGGTATGGATGGATGAATCTTGAGTGTGTTTATTGTTTGGAAGGAAGGGGAAATGCAAGGACTACGTGTTTTGGGTTACATTCTCAAGTGGAGTGCTGTCAAATGTGCCACGGCCCAAGCACCTGACTCGGGGCGATAGGGGTTCATTTTATGCAGGGCTCCGACAGCCTTTCGTGAGGGCTCCTAAAAAGAAGCCTGAGCACATGAGGATACTTTATGACTTATTTGCTCGAGGGACGTAGGGATGGTGAGAGCTTTTTTCCCAGCCACTCAGCTTTCCGCCCAAAAGAAGAGGCCGGTTTGGACTGCTCCAGTGGCTGGGCTGTTCTGGCAGTCCTCAACCGAAAACTGTTGGAGGGCAACGTTTGTACAAGCCCATCGCTTGCTACTCCGCGGTGTTCATGTTATACAAGACCCAAAGGTGCTTCAAGAATGGAAAAGCCCCGTGTACACGGGCTAGCCTCGGAAGTGCAAGTCTGTCTCAGCTATGATGGTTGACGCGCTGAATGTTGGACCAGCCAAGCCAGATCTCATGAACGGCCGTAGGTGTCCTGCAAGTCACGTGGTTGTGATCATTGGCCAGTGCCAGCTTGTTGTGTCCAAGAACAGGACGCCTGCTTCCATGGAACCCAAAAACGGGGGTCCACAAAACAAGACTCCTCCAAAAACGAAGGCTGTTTGGGTTCCGTTTTCCAAGCGGTGACTCCCAGGTGTGTGAGGAGATCGAGAACTGGAAGGAGGCTCGGGTTCGTATCCCCCCAAAAGATGTGGACGAGCAGAATCCGCACGACAACCCCCCCTCCAAAAGAAACGGAGAAGAACTACAGATGGATATGTGGATAGGTACGTTCGCCTAAATCTGCGCATGGCACCGTGCTTCTCTTCGTATTTGCATGGACAGTTTTGTATCATGTGGAGATGACCATGTACCATATATACCCCGGGCTCTTGTTCCGGGACCCTGGAGCCCAAGGCGTCTTCGGCCAATGCGGATTTCGACCTCCTGTGGTGCGATTCCGCCGGGCACCCAGATGGCTTCAGCATCCGGTCCTTTTGGGTGCCTGGTGACGGGTCGTCCCTAAACTCGTTGGCTGCGAACTTCAAAAGGAAACGTCAAAACTGATTGGAGATTCGCTCCCCATCCAAATGATGTTTAATCCCAAAGACTGAATTGAAAATGTACAGCACTCACACCCATTCCCTACCCTGCAGCCCTTCACGTTTGTCGCGGTGTCGGATCCAATTCAATCGGGTCTCAGGCTATACCGGCGGACCGCTTCATGAAGCTCAAGGCCTATCAGAAGATGAACCACTTCGCAGGGAGCCAAAGGATGGGCCCGTGTGCTTTTGGGGGCCAACAGTTCCCTTTTGGGCTTGTTTTAAACAGGAATGGACCAGATGTTACGAGACCCTATTTTGACAAATACCCAGATGTTACGAGACCAGGGGTCTCATCATGTTTTCCAGGCTTGTGGATCCTTTTTGGCGTTCGAACATTTGTTTCCCTTACCTCTGCCTTGTTTGTCCTGTCTCACCAAATTAAAATGCAAGCTCGGCTAAACGTAGTCTTCTGCATAGCCGCCGTTTTGGGTTTCAAGTTAGCTCGCAGGGAAGTAGTTGTGCGGCCACATCTTTCCAGATGTTTAGGCGGACATGTTGCCAAACGTTTCTGACGTTCCCGCGGGTTTGCCCATTGTCCGCCTGTCACCCCGATAAGGGAACGTGGAGGGTTGGATCATGTTTGACCTTCCTGCATTGCAGGAAGCCTTTGCGCCGGCTCATGCAGGGTGATTGCTGTCCGCGCAGTCCGGCCATGCTTCGACAGAACGGCCAAGCGCCATTTTCTTCATGGCAGTTCTGAGCCATTGGAGTCACCAAGCGAAAGAGTCTTGGGACACTTGGGCGGTGAGTGTTGTGACACATAGCATCTGCTGATGTTCACGTTCTCCGTTTGACGAGATGGACTTGGAGCTCGCTCTGGCCTTCTCCCCCGCATGAATAAGGGCTTGCGAGCCCTGCGAACAGTTGGGTGTGGGTCAAGATTAAACAAGGGGACCGCAGGTTTTAGTCATGGGTTCCATTTACCAGGGTTCCCAAAATGGGTACCCATGTTTGACCCACAGCCATCTGGCCTTCTGCGAGCTCAGGTGGGCATGAGCTCCATCACCAGAAAGAACAACTTAGGCGGAGCTCAGGATTTGTTCCGGTCCAATCGGGGCGGATTTCTACACCTGAATCCCCAAAAAGGACTCATCTCTGAACGTCATGTTGTTTGGGGTTGTGCAGAGCGGCCTTGTTTGGAATCCATATTCACCACATATTCTGCACCGCAAAGGACAAAGGCATTGCACACACACACACAAGTTGCGAATACTGTTAGGACAGTGCCACGAGCCATGGCTGCCTGGCTTAAGTTGCAGACAAACCGACGCTTGTGCTTGCTTCTAAAAGCCATAGGATGTTTGGGTCATTGGCTTGCCTGGGCTACTTTACATTTCTACTGACCTTGAATGACGGGCCAAGTCGAGCAAGGGGTTGTCAGAAACTTCTAGTTACTTATTGCAGTAGCAGCAGTAGAACTGGCACGACACCGTGCGCGCTCTCGCGTGTTGCTCAGCTTGAGACTCATGGCTTGCGCAAGAGATGTGGGGTCCAAAGCATAGACTCGAGGGGTTTGCAGGCGGTGTTCCGAGGTTTCCCGCCCGAAAACGACGGGAAACGGAAATCCATGTCTCAGGTTGCTCGGAGAATCAAGACCTTAAGACATCAACGAGCCAATCAATTCCTCGGAAACCGCTTCAGTCCACAGTACTGGCTGAGCAAGGAGATAGTAAGGAGGTGGGTCAGTTTCAGTCAGTTTGGTTCGTAGATTGTCCTGGTTTCAATCGTTTGTTTTTTTTCCAGTGGAACCCAGCTATTGCTAAAGGACTCCTACGGTTGCTCGCGCCAGGCCGGAACCTGCTGAGAATGAGGAAGCAGTTTCCTAAGGCACGGGAGTTGGGTGTGCTCCTTGCCACATACTGGATCAATGTGCACGTCAACTGAAGCCACTGACGCTGTCACCTTCTCGCATATATATGGTCCATATATGATGTATGTTGATGTGGAACGGTTGGCTTGCGCTTTTTGGGCGGCAAGCGGCAAGCCAACATGTTGTCATGGAAAGCTCAAAATGGCTCTGTTTTCCGAGGGTACCCTCTTCTTGGGGTGGATTCAACCCCATTTTAGGAGTGCCCCTGTTTGCCACACAGACAGGGTCACCCAAATGTTGGCCAGGAATATCGCTTCTTCCCGGACACCTGGATCCTGCCTACGGACATGTCCGACTTCAAGCAGCAGTGGGGGGCCTGGAGGCGGTTTTCCGCATTTGGACCTGCTGGTGGGTTCCATGTTTTTCCCGTTAGAGGCACCTGGGAGCCGGCCTTCAAATCTTTGGTTGGCGATTTGTCGGGGTCAGTAGAGATTCTCAATCATTCGTCTTGCAGGTCCTTGGGCAGGTGAGTTGGGTCTTGCTCGCAGATCCCATGAGGGAGGTTGACATAGATCAGATGTGGTTTGCACATAAAGCCTGTTTAAGGATTACTGGCTAGCTTGCTTGGGCAATCCCCCTTGAAGAATGTGGTTCAGGAGTTTCCTTGAGACAACCTGTAAGTGAGATTTCTGATCTGGGGAGAATTATTGCAAGATGAGAATAGAAGGGCAGGAAAGCGAAGCCCAACGAACAAGCAAATATAGATGCAGAGAGGATTCCTGATACCTTTTGCGAAGCCATTTCATGTTTATATTCCCACATATTCAAAGCCATCTTCGCTTCAAGGTTTTACAACAGCTGCATAGATGTCCAGAATCGAACATGTGATAGATGTCCAGAACCGACCATTGCAGCGAAAGCGGCAATCATCAATTACAAAGTGATGGTACGCAATGGAGGGGTTCTCTTGAGCCACCTCGGTTGTCTGTCCCCCGCATTTGCCAAGGTTTAACACTGTCAAGAAGCAGACCTTCATCATCAAGCCTGACAATGGCTGCCAGGCATTTGCTGGGCTTGAGCAACGTAGAGCAGGCTTGGCCTTTTTGCCATCCCTCGATGCAAGATGTGTCAAGATGCCTTTTGAGGGATGTGCAAAAGCTAGGCGACCCATGATGCGAGGACTGTAGTTGGTATTGACGCGCAGGGAGTCATGGCCTGTGCCCAAGCTGCGCTGGAGGTCATGTCAGCGTGGGAATAGTCCAATCTTACATGGACTTACACGACACAATTCGGCATTTTGGATGATTCCCCCACTTCAGTGGACATTCCCAGGACAGGCTGCCTCGGCTTAAAGGCACTCCTATTAAGATTTACTCAGCTTTCAGCTGCTGTTTGCTTCCCACACGCGGGTGCCACGTTGCCACATGGCCTGAAGAAGTCATCTGGCCAGGGAAAGGGCATCTTCCTGATCCGTGATGTCGAGAAGGTTCCGGTGGATTTCTCCTCCACTCACGTGGCACAGAGGCAGGGTGGGCTTTCTGTAGTGACCTGGTCGTCATTTGGAATGTTTCAGCAACATATGAGCGCCCAAAGGAGTCCAAAACCACAAGGGCACCCACTCGACAGGCCAGTTGCCAGTTCAAGCTGGGTTAGCTTGGGGCTGAGCAAAGGACCCGACGGCTTGCTGAGCTGTTGAAAAGTTCTTACTGATGTGAACCTTGAATTAGTGGCCGTACTGGTGGAAAGTAACACTGATGGGGACATAGTTGGACGTAGTTGGTGGTACATATCGGCCGTTTGTTTAGTTTGGTTCAAGAATTGATTTGCGGAGGCACGCAAGCGCGTTTTCATCAATCGCTTTCAAGAAAATGCGACACCTCTTTGTAGACCCGCCTTTGTAACTCAGCTTTGTGAAAGTTGGCGGGGGTTCGTTTTTTGTAACCCACGGTCAAAGGAAGTTCAGAATTTGATTCCTTGGGATGGTCAAAAGTTAGCCGGATCGCGACGCTTGGTCGGAACTCTCTCGATGGCGTTCAGAGCACGTTCTCAAACACGCACACTTTTTGTGACAGTAGTTTTCCTGGCAGGCGTAGCGCTTTAGCAAGCTGATGTGCAGATTTCGTGGCAAGCGCAGCTCTTTTGCGAGGTCAGGCACAGGTTTCGTGACCGGCGCAACGCTTTCGCAAGGTCAAGTACAGATTTCCGCTTTCGCAAGGTCAGGTACAGACTAAGGCGCAGCACTTTCGCAGGTCTGGTGTAGACCTCACGGCAGGCGCAGCATGTTTGCGCGGTCAGGTACAGATTGCGCGGCAGGCGAGTGGTCGGGTGGCATGGTCGGGCGCAGACTGCGCTTTTACAAGGTGAGGCGCAGATGTCGTGACAGGCACAACGCTTTCAGAAGATAGATGAGCTTTTAGCCAGTTAGAAAGAAAGCGAAATCAGGTTAGATAGATAGATAGATAGGTTAGAAAGTTACGAAAAGAGAGAGAGAAAGAACGGTAGATTTTGTGTTTTTTAAGCTTCCGCCTGGGCCTTCGGCTTCCCGGCGCTACTAGTACTTGACCATACCAACCACGGCGGCGGAACGATTTCATGCGGGCTCTCACGCTTTCAGCACGAAACACGAGGGCGCATACATAGTATCTATTTTTTGTTTTTTTGTATACGTATATATATATATATAGAGATACATGTATAATTGTAGGGGTTCAGGTTCCGTGCTGGGCAGTGTAAGGCGTGTCAGGAAGGGAGACCATTTGGATCCCTTGGAACAAGCTTGGCGTATGTGTAGGTGACCACCTGCATTCTTCGAGGTCTAGGGTTAATTTAGGCTTTGGGGGTTTTGTGACCAAAGCGTTTTTCAGACGAGGGGTGTACAAGGACAACGCTGCCAGGTACATCAACAAGCCGCTCCTCCTGGACGGTTACAAGTTTGATGTCCGGCTCTATGTCCTGGTCAGCGGCTGCGATCCCCTGCGGATTTTCTTGCACAGGCGCCGGCATGCTCTACTCTAGTTCGAGTGGCAGAGACAGAATTGAGTATGTCTCAAGATGCGGACCGAAACGCAGGTACCCTCAACAGAACATCCATGTAGGAGACGCGTGGCATTTTGGAACTTCTGAGTGCTTCTGGCAGATGTCTTCTAGCCGATGTGTTTGATGAGAGCCGCCATTTGACTGACACTCACTGAAACATTCAGCTCTGATCTCTGAATGAAATGTAGGACATCGAAAAAGCAGACCTGTGTGGTCAGTTTACTGTCGAAGCGTTGTCTGCTTGGCATGGGCAGTATTTTGACCTTGCGTCGAAAGCAAGAATTGTGCTTCTTTTCGCAAATTCTTAGTTCACGGGGAAGTGGCAAGTTGCACAATTCCAGGGTGCACGCACGGCTTTGATCAGAGGTTGACGCTACACTTTTCTAAGTTGAACAATGTGATCTTCTGTCAAAGGCATTTGTCAGTTCGTGGACTTAGATTCTGAGGATGAGCTCAGCATTGAGAAGCTTTTGTGCAGGAGAGGTCTTGTGCGACTAGCATCCGAGCAGTACGTCCGGCGGCCAAGGTTTTGCGAGTCATGCAACCTTGGGCGGCCGTCAGCTCCAAACTAGCAAGGCATTGCGTTGCTGCGTTTCTGAGAAAGGAGCCAACTGGAGCAAAGGTAGCAGTCAGCTATTGCAGTTTCCCCTGTATCATACTTGCAAAAGCTTCCTGATTTGTCTGCGAGATGCCGTTTGTATGTCCGATTTTCTTTGCCCATCAATCTTTACAAACACCCGCCATATTCAATGGATGGTTTGAAGACAAAAAACATGTAGAACAGATGAGATGGTGTTTGTCGAAGGTGCCGGAGCGCCTGGTGGCGCTGACTACTGCGCTGTTTTGGTCATGCAAAACCCAGGTGGAGCCCACCAAAGGCAATCTGCCTGGGGCCGAGTCTGAGCAGGTACCCCGCATCCTGCTCGCCTTTGCTTCTACTTGGGTTATGTACCTTTAAAGCCACCAACGAAAAGAGGGCGGCCACCAGAGGTTGGATCGATACCGTGACTTCATCCACCTTGGATGCGTCCAGCTTCTTTTGAAGCAGCGCATTGATCCACGAAGAATAGGACTTGATCAAGGTGCTGGCTTTTGACAAGCGGACGTAGGAAGTGTTTGCCAGGACTGCTTGTTTGGCTATGGCGATCCAGCACTCCAAAAAGTTGACAACGAGTTTGCACTGGCTGTTGCCTGCGCATTGCACCACCTGAGTTAGCACTTTGCATTGTGCAGCACGTTGCCTTTCTGACTGAGCTTGCCCTGCAGAGCAACGTGGAATCCAAAGCGTCATGCCCAGAGGGAGGGTCTCCTTTTGGGACACCCCTTTCGTGTTCCTTGTGGATTTGCAGGGGAGTGTCGCCAACAAAATCGAGGTCTGAGGTGATGATGCACTTGACAAACTATGCCATCAACAAGAGCAATCCCAACTTCGAGGCGGTGCGCTGTTTGCATCGTTTTTTTTTTTTTTGCAGCGCTCAGGACATTCAGAATGACCTACTTGAACCTAAACCACTCGATGTGCTGAAAGTCATGCGGCATCGAGCACTTCTCATGGCTGTGGGATTGTGGTTGAGCGGAAGACCATCGCGAGACCCTTTTGTGACATTGGGGATGCCTGAATCATACGCCAAACAGCATCCCGCCTTGGGTTGCAATGCTTCGCATGTGTCTTCCAGCCTTTGGATTTTCCGCTTTTTCCGGCCCCCGCAGCGACCTCCACTTGCCTTCAGGAGAACACCGACCCCGACGACGCTCAGGATGGCCACAAGCGGAGCTGGGAGGTGCGCGCGCACCACCAGTCGGTCAGCCCATGGAACCCTCCAGAGAAACGGTCGAAGAGAATGGGTTTGTGGGAACGGCTCCGAATGAGCGTGTGATCCATGTTCCATAAACATCGCTTCCTTGTGACACCACCTGGAATCCTGCTTGGATTCTATGCCCCAACTGTGGATTTCACTCATTGTTCACTTCAAGCTTGTTCTCCAAATGCGACCTTCTCACCTTTTTGTTTCCTGGTTTTGGTCCATGTTTGGTCGAAGTCCTAAAAGGTGAAGCTTTCATTTCCCGAGAAGGGTGGATCCACTGCTTGATTTGGCATCCACAGCAACCCCTTCAACCCATGGTATAATTCCACAAACTTTAGAAATGGAGGAAACCGCAACAAAGCACCTCATACTTCTTGTCCGGTAAGGATGCGGCCATTGGGGCTTCGCAGGCGGTGCAGGAGCACTTGCGGCAGGAGGGCCACGACGTGGACACCTTGGTCCTGGAGATCGAGGAGAGTTGGGTTTCTTACCCTGATCAAATAGATGTTATTTTGGTAAGATTGCAATGCTGCAAATTTGTTCAATTTTGACCAGCCCAACATGAATGAGGTGTTTCTTGACCCTGGGAGCAGCGGGCGCTCGCGGAATCCGGCCGAAACATGGGACCTGGCTAAGAATGATGCCTCGAGTTCCTCGGTTTGTCGGAGGTGATAGATGGGCCTGCTGGAAAAGGCTGCGAAGCTCTTGGGGTAAACTCTTCAACTCTCGAGGTTGACCATCCCAGTCAAGGACAGATTTCCTGGTGGCGTGCTTATTTGCCACCTTTTTTGCCAGAGATTGCAGAAGTAAGTCGGCTGAAAGAGGCGATGAAGAACAAGAAGCACATTTGTGCGTGGGCTTCCTGGCTACTGTAAGTCTTTAGAGTCCTGAATGATTAAAAAGGGTGTCTTGCGGGGTCTTTGACACCAAATTAAGAAGTGGCGTAATTTTGTATTGGTAAATATCTCACTGGATACGGAGGACTTGATTGTCAAGACCCTCATTGCCGTCCAGCCTAGCCTCTCCCACTTCTACCACAGTTGCCAGCTGGGTGCCCGAGTGTCAAACCAAAAGTCAGGCCGGGGAATCTGGGGTGTGTGTATGGAACCCGCCTTGGGATGATTTCTGGTGGCGTCAGGGGGCAGCCAACAGGAACAGCACCATCTTCGGGGTCCCCCGGTTTTGACACACACGCACACACACATTGGTTCCATGGTTGGATCACCACAATGTACCTTTAACCCAGGGGTAGTTGATCTTCCCCGAAAGACAGAACAATGGGTGTAAGAGTGCCTTGGGGTAATCCAAAAAGGGAAGCCTGTCTATGGATGTCCACCCTACCAAGGAGTTCGTGCTTGCTGCATGTCTTGACTTCAGAAACGTTGGTGGAACATATCAATCAAGTCTCATCACCTGGTTGTGCAGAACATGTTGCTCCTTGGTCTTCGACAGAAGTGGTGGTATGTACGGAGGATGTCTGCCTGGTATTGGACCGTCTGAGCAGCACCGCCAATGCAGTTCGCTCGTGAGCTGCCAACAGTTTGGCAGTCTGCAAATGTGGCAAGACGTGTTCGTTTGGAGGAAGACGTGTTCAAATGTGGCAGCGAAGCTCGCGCAAACTGAGGCCTGAAGAACTGCACAATGGCATGTGCTTTGAGGCTGGCCTGGCATTCAGCTGCTGCTTCGTTCGCTCACATTCAGCAACCCTGCATGTTTCCAAATGCCGTGATGAAGTGACCAAGTCCTGTTTAACAAACTCAGGCAGTAGCTTAGACACCGCTGCATTGAGAGAGGGCAGCCAAAAGCCCGAAGCCCAAACACACACACACACACCAAAGCCTGACCCTGACCCGCTGGGGAAATTAATATCCGGTTTTCCCGGCGTTTCCTCCGTGATTTTGAGTTTCTGTCTGGAAGGGTTGGAATCATTAGGTTTGTTTGCAGGAAGGCTCGTCTGGACGCTCCCATAACAGATCTACCAACAAAAAAAAGCCGGGCGGATGGTCAGATCTTGGGCTTCGACGTGATGTTGGACCAGAAGTTGCAGCCGTGGCTTTTAGAGGCCAAAGTCGCGGGATGTCGGCAAAAGCAGAGGTGACCCTCTGAGCTGATTCCATGCGAGTGGCGAGGCTTGACTGGGCTTATCAGGTCTTGCTCTGCAAGTTGATGTCCGGCGACCAGCGTCTCTGACAGTTTGCGGAGCTTTGTGACAATTAAAAAATGCTGGTCTAAGTCTATGGTAGCCCTAGGCCCCCCCCCCCCGGCGCAACGTGGAACGCAATGGCCTCCATCGTGCGAGGGAACTGAGCTGAATGCAATTTCGTAAATGGGTGTGCGTTCATGTTAATTCCCTTTCAAACCAGTTCCCAAAAGGCTCCCTAGTCCTGACAAGTCCGGGGAGTGGGCTTTCAGTCGCTTGGATCTTGCGAGGTCAACCACGCGCCCTCTTTCGCCACAGAGTCCGAGCTTGACCGCATCGTCAAAGAGGAGGCCTTGGTCTTGAAGCAGTCAGAAGCATTCCCGTTGCGGGACCATGTGGGACCGTGTCACGTGTTCGAGTGGATTTGTCTCAAAGTAGGGGAGGCACCCCAACATTGGTGCTGTTTGTTTGTCATTCCGTTTGCAACGGACATACCCAGGTTACAGGGGTGAGGCCGATGTGCACATACGTCCTGCATGAAATCATACGTCCTGCATGAACGCCTCCTACCCGCGAGCTGTATGCATGTAGACGTTCCACGCAAAATTCAATAGGGCGCCGGTTGAGCCACTCTTACATTAAGACCTTTGTGCCTTCCTCATGTTTTTGTTTGTCTTTCCCTGGGCGCTTTTCCCTTTTGACCCATTAAATTTCAGGACGCCAACATGGTGACCCCGGATCAATAAGCTCGTCCGGTTAATTGGATGTGGTCCCCTCCAAAAGAAATGATTCCCCACTAAACCCAGGGACTCCGGTTAAGTATGCTGGGGTTGATTCATCCGAGGTTAACATCAATAGTGCTTCCTTTTGAAGTTTATATTGGATGGGCATGTGGCTCAGGTGCTGCGGGATAGCTTCAGCCTCTTGGACCTGAACCCGGACGTGCGGCGCCAGAAGAAGCGGGAGGCATTCGAATGCGCGATCCTTTTCAGCAATATGCTCACCAACCAACCAGCCTTTTAGAGTCAAGCGTTGGGTTCTGTACTGGACACACCGTATGTGATCCCTTCACAACTTCACAGCCCTTTGCTCACCCACGACTTGCTAAGATTGTTGCGGGAATTCAGCTTCCCTCCAGTTTGTGGTCTGGATTGGTGGTTTGGTGGTTAGGGGTATTCAGGGGTAATTTCTTATGTACCCTCTACAACAGCCGGGGGGTCAACTCCCCGCGCCACCAATCCAAGCCACCAACCACAGTTGCCTCAGTTTTGGGAATGTAAGCCAGCAAAAGCACCTCGGCACGTTTCAGCTTGAGCAAGCCCCGGTCTGGGAAACCAAAGTTCAACGTCGCGAATTTTGCAAAAGAGATTCATCCCTTTTCCATGAGCGCTTGTCAGTGTTTTGCCGGCTTGCAAGTGTTCAAATGTTGCTAACTATATAGTGTTCTTTTCATCTACTTTTAAGCAGCAAGGGACACCTAACTCTCTCACTCCAAGCACGTTTCGATACCTTCATTTGCGCAGGCCCGCGAGAGGATGGAGCAGCGAGCGCGGTTCTGAGTCGAAGGCAAACCATTGGCTTGGTGTGGCTACAACTACGTTGAATGAGTCAACCGGCTTGGGAATATTCATGTCGTTTCTTTCTGAAGCGTCATGCAGCCAGAGTCCGATCTCGCTTATTTGTGCTTGATTTGGGCTGGTGGAGTATTGGATTTGGGCACGTCTATGCCTAGGAATCTGGAGAGTTGGCCAACCTGAGGCTATGGGCATTGCCAAGAAGCACTGCATTGAAGACCGTATCGCTCAGGCCAGTTTCCTCGAGCTTGGCACAAGAGGGCAAATGCTGGTTGTTTGGGCGGCTGAGGGCTACTTGTCATTGGTCTGTCGAAAATAGGAAGGCCTGTGAGATGATACATGTGAAGGTGCCTAACTCTGCAGACTCGGGCCGGCTGTTTGGACGGTTTCAAACAAAGCCCGGCAAGAAACAACCCCCTTGGCTTTGGGGTTGGGTCAAGAATTCACAGTATTGTTATGTATGTGCGTATATATATATATATAATATATATATACATGGGGGTTCATCAATATTCATGGCTCCAAAATGACCATGGCTAACTGTTCCATTTTAGGAGTGCAAGTCGTCTTTCTTGGTGGCCTCCCCAAGGGTCACCCCATGTAAAGGACCTTTTGATCAACCCCCACAGATCTATATATAAATATATATATATATAGATATATATATATATATATAAATATATATATATATATATAAATATATATATAAGTATGTATACATATTTATATAGAGACATACATATGGTATCCTGCGCAATGCCGTTGGTGCGTGTTGCTTATGATGTGGCCCGGCCTGTGCATGGCTTGAAGCAGCGAGCTTCCGTTCAGGAGCGCGAGGTGGCACTCTTCCGGACGGAATGGGAAGACAGCCACCTGGCGGCTACCATGAGTGGGTGCGCCCCAGGCTCATGAGTCATGGCGAGACTTCGGCCCTCCCAGATGTGAAGCAACCGACGGGGGAATCGACATGGGTATGGGCGTCCCTGTCTCCTCTCTGACACTCAGCCCTGCGTTGCTTCTCTGGGTGATCTGACGAAACGCACCAGGTACAAGCGGCTTTATCCATCACCTGAGAAGGAGAAGGAGTACTGGCAGGCCTTGGTAAGACTGGCAATGTGCAATGCTGCGGTCGTCAAGTCTGAAACACAGGCTGTAGTTGCGGCATGAAGGGCTATCATATGTATCCGGCCGATGCCCTTGCTGCGGTTGATCCACTTGCTGCGTTTCATTGCGTTGCCCAGCCTTTGGACAGGGTTCCTTGACCGATGCACCAAAACAAAGTGGTTCTTGAAGCGACCCAAATGTATCTAGGAAACCTGTTCAGCAGAGCCTGGCGCAACTCAACCTATTGATTAGCGAGCCTGCCCCAGCTGGCGATGCAATGTAGACAGATGGCACGTACTTCGCCTAGACAAATTTGACCGCCAATGCCTATCATACCTTCAATTTTCAACCAAGACGCTAAAACCCCTCGGCCTAAATCCGAAACATGCACCCAAAACCGAACTCCTCCTAAACCTGAAACCTGAATCGTACACGTCAACCCCATCATGGAAACTCTAACCCTAACCCCTACCCCAAACCTAATCCCGATCCTCCTAAACCCGAACCTTCAACAAAGACTGAGACAAAGCCCTAAAACCCTAAACGTGAACGCTACGCCGAAGCCCGAAAACCGTAAACCTAAAGCCTAAACGTGAAGCAACAGAAATAGCCTCGCTAGAACGGAGTCCTAAACCAAAACCTGAAACCCCTTAACCTACGGGTGTAACCTAAACGCTAATTTTAGACCCCAATCAATGAGCCTGCACCGAGCAGCGACAACGCTAACCGTTGGTTTGTGGCCTGCTATCGCTAGACCTTGAACTGGTAGGGAAACACCCCCAGCAGGACATTGAACCTGAATGTCCACTCGCATCTAAGCCCCGAAAGCCGTCTACCGACGCTTCGTTGATTCGTTGAAACAGCAGTGTGTGGATTGAATTTGACCAGGTCGCCCCAAGTGCAGGGGTCGGGTGTGTTTCCTGGGTCCTTGAGCCCCGCCGCTTGCATGGGCAACGTGGTCGAGAGTGGCAGAGAGGCGTTTCAGGTGCACGATGCGGCCATCAACATTTGGGAAATGCTGATGGGTGGCACCTTTCGACGGGCGGCCTGAGCCCCAGAATTCGAGGTTGAAGTTGAGAAGCCTTTAGGAATACACCCAAGTTGTGACGGGCTCCACTGTGGGTCAAGGCCGTCGGAGCGACCGGACTTCGGGTACGGCTTGTGGCGACCGAACTTCGTCGCTTCCGTGCACAAACAATTGTTCGCCATGAATCAATGTCAAAGAACTGAGAACTGGGGATCATGAAACCAAGGATTCTGACCGTATCTGCATCAACTCAACTGACAACGCAGAACCCACCTCGAGGTCCGCTTGTGCGACCCCTTGGACCGGCCGCCCATCGAGGATCGGGCGCTGCACCCGGATGGAGTTTCTACCGTCATTCTCATGGAAAAGGATGTTCTCGGACGGTCGCAGGCCTCCTGTCAGCTTTGACTGTTGGCTTTTGGTGGGCGTATTTTCGGACAAGGAGGCGAAACCCAGTGAGTTTGGCCTGGCTGTTGGACGATGCAAGGTGGCCTGTATGATCAAACAAGCCAGTTACCCAAAACAAATCCGACCACCCATGAAATTGGTAGGTCTTTGAGCATCCAACTGCTAAGACTCCAACAGCAAAATACTTGATGGAAGGCCAAAGGCCCTGGAATAAGGGGTCATTGGAGTAAATGATCATTAATTTTTTTTGTCTTCGGGGGGTCTGCCCGAACCCACATTGCAAATAATGAAAAGGCCGGCTTTCCGCACCGTTTTTCACGGGACTGCACCCCCCCAAGACTTGCCCGTCCGTGAGTCTGAGGCGGAGAGCAAGGCCCGCGCACACTCGGCCAAGCCAGGCGCGAGGCATGTGATGCTCCCAGCTTCGGTGTTCGCTTTTGTTTGTGAGGATCTCAGAAGGTCATCGCAAGCTTCGTATTTTGGGTCTGGAGTGAACTCACTGTGCCGATAGCGAACGGCAAATCCTAGTGCCCGGAATAACATGCTGGGTCCGCCAAGGGTGCTTGTTCTTTATTTGTATTGTTCCCCGGCCCTCGTAGTTGGTGGACGAACCTGTTCAGTGTCCCTTGTGGTGAACGCTGTGTGCTTCATGGCTGCTCGCTCCCAGTCCCAATACTTCAGACCCCAAGGGACGCTTGCAGTTTGTTCAACATTCCGCTAGGCTCCTCAGATGAAACTGACGGCAGGTTTATGTCGTAAACCTTCCACCCAGGTGGACAGGTTGTCCTTTACGGGGTTTTATGCAGTCTCCAATCCCTCCAAGAAAAGGATAGTTGGGCCGAGACATATTTCTTCGGGGGTTCTGTGGAGTTCATGTGCCAGGTGTTTATGCACGTGGGGGGTCCATTTTCGAGCTGAAGTATTTGAAGTTTTTGACCATGAGTTCTGTAATTGTTCCATGGGGGGGTGCGACCTTCATTGAAGGTCCCTGCCCCCATGCATCATCGTTGGGCAAGGCGATTGGGCCTCATTTTGTTTTTTGCCTGAAGTATTAGACATGAAAAGTCTATAAAGCATCTAGAAACATGAGACTGCTTTTTTCCAAGCACAGAAGGAGCTACGCAATTCAGGGCTGATCCAACGCGTTTTCGGGGCGTTCGTTGCCAGGGCCTGAGGAGCCCAAGGAGACGGTGCCCAAGCGCACCGCCGAGGAGATACGCGAGGCAAGTCGACCCAACCGAGAGATTCGACCAGGGGCCACTGAAAAAGTCGAAGCAGTCGAAGCACATCAGTGCACCAACCAGTAACCAGTCCGGCTTCAGGCTTGGGCGATTCCACTTGAGGCATTGTTGGGACAGGGTTAACCTTAGGCTTGCCTTTGGGGGGGGCTCAACAGGACTCCGTCCCCTAAAATGGCAAGGCTCTTCCTTTCCCCTTTGCTGTAGTTTGACCAAAGGGGTTCCACCATCTTGAGACACCGGCTGGGAGGAAAACCAGTCACGGGTCATTGTCCCATTCGGGTGTTCTTTTTTTTAAGGGCACATACTCCCCTGTTCGGGCAAAGGACAACCACAAGGACAACCACTATGTGGGGGGAGGGGGTCCCTAAACCAAAGACACACCGAGGACAACCACTTGGGTTCCCTAATGAAACACACGCACCCATTTGTCATTCGAATCGTCAGGTGGTCGAGCGCTTGGCCCAAGGCTGCAGCGCTCGGCGCCGCGCCCGGCGCCGCAAGGCGCAAGCGGCGCGCAAACGCTCGCTGGGGGGTTGGGGGGTCGCTTCCCAGAATGTTACAGTTTTTGAAGGCAAACCGGAAAGGAAAGCGACCATGGTTGGGGTGCCAGTTTGTTTTTTCAGAGAGACTCATATTATGGCCTTTCACCAGCAGATTAAAATGAGGTTACCGATTGTTTGGGTTGATGTTTTGAGGAGGCAATATAGACTTGGAGAACCTGGGCTTGGGCTGTTGTGAGCCCGGGGTTGACATATGTTTTTGTTGTTTTAGAATTCGTTGAGGCTTTGGTGTTGCTTTGGGGAGGGTTTAAGGCTTTAAGTGATTGTTGAGAGTTTGGGGGTCTTGCTTCGGGCTTTGGGGTACTGCTTTGGATTCGGTTTGTGCTTGGTATTGACTCTTTTGTTGGTTCCCTGTGGTTTGATTGGACTGCTGGGTGAGGGCGTGTCCCAAAGGTATTCAATTCATATCGAACAGGGAACGGCACTTGACCGATGTTTGCTAGCGGAAAGAGGAGGATGCATGTCATGAAGCCATACAATGGATTAGAGGGTCAAGGAAAAAGAGGCGTTGTTGGAGGTCCGTTCAAGAACCTGTCAGGTTTGCTTTGGTCGGCAAGGCAAGTGACATGGAGACGAATCTCCCCACCCTCCAGCTCCGTGATGATAGTGCTGCCGGTATACGCAACCGGCCTCAGGAGGATGAGAAAGAGGAGCCAGCTGCAGGCGGGAGGTTTACTTCCCCTGAAGCTCCATGCAGGTGATATCTGTACGCATTTAGAGAATATCAGAAGCCTGTGGGCTTTTGAAGGCTAATGTTGAGGCAGATGGCAAGCAGCCCCCTGGCCCTTCCCAATTACACAGTGTAAACAGCAGACTGTCCATTGCGCCATGGCTAACAAGCACCGTATTTGAGCCACATTCATAGGCCCACATTGCTTGTCAAGGCCAAGTGGAATTCGGAACAAGAACTCCCAAAAAAAATGCCGCGCTTGCAGCTCTCCAGGCTTTCAGGGCATGGAGGAGGCTCCTCCAGCAGCGGAGAAGAGGAGAGCCACGACTTTGGGGCGCTTGAGCTATGTTGAAGCAGTGCTTTCCATTCCCCTCGTGCTTGATTCGACATTTTGTGGTTCGGACGTTTTCCAGTGTCCTCCCCAAGCCAACTGCAGGCTAGACCATACTAGACGATGGACCAATGACACGGGATGTACCCACTTGCTGTTTGCGGCGGCAGTGGAAGGCGTCAAGTCCCGAAGGACTCAGGCCAATCGGTACATTGACGTGCAGGCAGGAAATCCAGTCTGCGGATTTGCATGGTTTGTGAGAAACTCGATGGGTTGACCTTTGACGGTGGCCCTTGTTTGACACCTTCCCGAAAGGGACGACACTCATCATCATTGCAGGGACCCCCAATTTGCCAGGTCCTGTAACTGGCAATGTACTAGTGGGGTACAATACCAGGCTGAGCAAGCTTGCGCTTTCCGGGGCGCAGCTTTCCATGCACTGGGCTGCTCTTGCGGTGCTTTCTAGGCTAAAACTAGCTTTTCCACTTTGGGGGACTAAGCTAAAGGGAAACCAAGCAGAGTGGAACAGGCAACTCGAGCCAAATCTAAAAACAACCTGTTCACTTTTCGACCAAAGGCAATGAGGTTTTGCCTCACTCAGGGTCACTGTGGGCCATATCCGCACGCGGATACCTGTGAGGTGGGCGATGTCATCCGGGTCCAAACCAACCTCGGCTGGGAGACCGTGACCGTGAGGCGCGATGGACCGGCATGGACCGGCGCCCGGTGCATTTCAGAAGCCAACTTCTTTTTGGAAAGGTGTGGAAAGGCGCAAGCGGATTGGAGGGTGGTATGATTTGTGTTTGACTTTGTGACAGAGGGCTTCTTTCCCGTTTGGCTGTTGGTGTCTCGGCCTGTGCTGCCAGTCTTTTGCGAAGGTGGGTGGCTAGGAATCTGGAGCCGTGGGTGGAATAGGAGTGAATAAGGAATGCCTGGAGAATGTGTGGCGACAGATATCATTGACTAGTTAAAGTTTAAGTTTCGTGGGCCCAGAAATCAGAGAGCCAGTCCTGCAAATTTCATAAAGCCTGGAAGGTGTGTGCTTTTTTGGGCAAGTGTAACCATAAGGTTGTTGCACTAATTCTTTTTCAGGGGGAAATACACGTTGACTTGAGTCTTGGATGCCGTGGGCAAGTGCAACATGTGGCGGAACGCGTTCACGGGCAAGGGAGACGTTGACTTGAGTCTTGGATGCCGTGGGCAAGTGCAACATGTGGCGGAACGCGTTCACGGGCAAGGGCGAGGCTGCCGGATGGGCATTCGGCGAGGGTGCAGCATGGGTTTTTCTTTTGGTGGTTGGTATCCCGTTGTGGTGGACTTTCCAAAGGTATCCAGATGAAATCTGCATGACCGTCGTTTGGTTGGTGGGGCTTGGTATTGAGACACACCCGCTTATTTTCTTGTGACGGCAATGCGTGTTCCGACGCTGTCAAAACATGGAAAACCAAAGGTGCAGCTTGGCACAGGTGTTCCCCAGGTGTTTCTTTGGTCTATCACTAGAGCTGCGCCACTTGGTTTTCAGCCACAGGACAAACTGTTTGCCAGGAGTAATTTTGTGGTCGCACATCCAGAGCAGCGTAGCTCTGTTGCCGTTCGGACTTGGGGAGCGAAGCCATTGCTCAGGGCCAAGCGGCAGGGCACTGGAAAGATCGACATCCAGTTCAAGGATGGCGAGTGACCGACTGGAGCGTTGGCTTGTCTGGTCATTTGTACGCCCGGCAATGTTTGGATGAGGCAGTTGGTTTGTGAGCGAGGCTCAGCCCCCCCTTTTGATCCTGAGCCAGTGCACAGTGCGCGAATCGGACTCAAAGCCCAGTTCAAAAGCCAACCGGGTGTGTTCTGTACCCCGGTACCCTTGTAAAGGTTGTAAAGGGCCAGAGTTGCCCTTTGACGCCTACCCTGGTTGATGGTGTGATCCCCTGCTTGTTTGTTAAGGGTACCCTTGTTGGGATGGCTTCAAATTGGAAAGCGAAGAGAAACCACCCATGACGCTTCGTTCTTTTGTTAGGGCCTCCTAGGTTAAGATCATATGACGGGTTTCCAACAAGTATGAGGCCCCTAAAATTATTTTGTTTCCTCCTGGTTTCCCATTGAAATCCAACCGAAAAGGAGTCCCCTATTTTGGCAATTGCTATTGGTGCAACCCAAATTCCCCCAACCAGGGGGAAGGGATATTCCAGACATGTTACACAAGGGGTTGAGGCAATCTGTCGAAAGTATGTCTTAAACTAAGGGTGCCCCAAACATCTGTGGAAATTATCCTTTGTGTTTTGTTGACCCGCGGGGTTGGTTCATTTCGAGGAAGCCAACAGGCAAGGCCCCATTCCCCATGCCCCCCCAAATCCGGGTCCACCAGGTACATGCGCTCGGTGATGCCGCGGATCCTGCGGACCTCCGAAGGCCTCGCGGTCAAGGAGACGGCGCCGGAGGCGGAAGTGCGGCCGTGCGGAAGTGCGGACGTGCCGAGATGCGGAAGTGTGAGGGAGGTGGGTATGGGTAAAAATATGTAAAAATTAAAGCTCCAGGAAGGGGACCGGCTTTAGTCCTTTCCATTTACTAGGGTTCCAAAATGGATACCCATTTTTGATCCACTGCCAGGTGACAGTGCGTAGAATCAGTTTGCAGGGGGGCAGAAAGTGGATAGGTGACGAGGATTAACCCGCTGCAACGACAATATGATGGAGGCTTACCAATTTCCAGGATGAACAGACGGGAAATGCCTCCAATCATCTGTCATTTATTTCTTTATTATTATCTTCTTATCTTTCTATCTCTTTCTTTTTTATTAGTTGATTAGTTCTTTCTGTAGCCATAGGAAATCTCATGAACAAAGATAAGAAGAGATGTAAAGAGAAAGACCTGGAAAGATAAGACGGTCTGATATTAAGGTTAGAATGGATGGAGCGAGATTGCCTGTGATTCAAGAATTCTTGGTTATAGACGGTTATCTGTAAAATCCTTGATGGAGACAACTTGTCCATTGTACCTCCTCCATTCCCTAATGAATAGACGGAATGGAATGGAGGTGAGGTGATAGGATGAGTGAGGTGACCGAGAGAAAGAGATGTCTGGTTGGTCAGGAGTTAGTAAGCATCTAGTATTCATTATTTGGCCAGTTACCCGTTACCATGATATATAATGATTAGTAGCCACGTGGTTAGTGGTCGTAAGCCCCCTAACCGTGTAGACGTTGATTTCCTTGGCCAACCCTCTGACTTTCGTGATTCTTTGGCAGGGTAAATCTGGGCTGTGGGTGGTTCAAACATTGCCTTGGATGTTTTTGTTTTTTTGGCCACGGCAAGAGAGCATATTTTAAACTCTACCTGTTGGAAGGCTAAAATTGAAGTCAGCTTCTTTGGCGGCGAAGTATGTGTAAATTGGACGTGGAGATGCGTCGGTTTGCACAGTTTTTTTGGCCGAGATCACCGCCCTCCTACGATGAATGTGCTTACTCAGGAGGTCCACTGTATTCAGTCTATCAAATATGGTGATCTGTGCATGACATGGGGGACGCATCAACAAGAATCCACGCGTTCACTACTGAACAAGATACATTATCGTATGTATGTGTGACCTCTCAATTCTGTCATGGGCTGTTTCGTTCCACCTCTTTGTTGTTCAGGATCTGAGACCGCAGGAACTTCGCCGTTCCCTGTGATGCTCGTCTACGGCAAACATGATGGCGCGTGTTCTTGCTTTCTTACTTCAATTGCTCGTTGCTTTCCAAAATCTCTCTCCTGATCCCTTGCTCACGGTAAACATGTCTGCTTGGCGTGCAGCAAGGTTTTCAACTTGCAGTCTCAAACAGTGCCCGCTTGGCTTTCGCCTCTTTGTAAGGACTCGTTTGTTTTCTTCCAGTTGATCTCCAAAGCATCAGACCCTCTTTTCAGAGCCTGGGCCCTTCACTGCCGGGCGAGGCGAGAAACATGACAACCAGCAGTGTAACACAGGTGAACAAACCGTACCCACGCACTGATAAGTTCAACCTTATATTTTCAGACAACAGCTCCTCAGTTTGGAAGAATCCTGGCTGTTTGCAAAACCAACGGCTGACTTCTATAGTGTCCCGGTCGATCCCCCAGGGCCTCATACCAGGAACAGTACAACTTGGATCATGTTGGCCGCGCTCTCGAGAGGGGGGTGGCCGTCCGAAGTAAGTGAGTGGAGGAACTCGGATCAGGTGTGTTACTTCGTGTTTCAGCCATAGTTCGCTGGTGCTCAGTCAATGCGGGAATGACCCTTACAAACCATCCAACTGTTGGTTTCCTAGGGAATCCCTGGGTTCATCTCCTCATTCCCTGAGCACCATATAGTTTTCTGCTTCCGACATTGAACGACTTGTGGTGTTCTTTGTTTTGGTTTCGAAGACTTGGGTACAGCTTGCTTCCCGGTTTTAATCGGAGACTTGGGGAGAAGCGGTCGGCCGACAGCAGCGGCCGCTGGCGAGGCAGAGAAGGAGAAGGCGTCCCCTCTGCCGCCGGCGCGGCAGGTGCGTTACAGCGCGACGCCCAGAACTGTGAGAATCCCGTGCTTCCTCCCCCAACATGGTTTTAGGGTTCATAAAACATCAGGAATAAACCAAAAGGAAGATTGGAGGTCAAAAGGCGCGAGGAACGGAAATGCCTCTGAGGTCCAACAGATTCTCCGTTCCTTTCCAAGCTTTACTATTCTCCAGTATCAGATTCCAAGATGGAAGCCGGTTATGCCGTACCCAGGAAAACTCCATCAGAATCCTATTCCTCTCTCCATCTTTACCAGCCTGCCGCGCTCATGGAAAGAGAAGCCTGAAATCCCATGGCAATAATATGAACAGGACAATGCCATGTGTTTATTCAAAAAGACAGATGATTGAACTTTTCAACAGAACATAAATGAGAAACGGATACAAGTACCCAACATGTGTATGTATATATATATATATATTTGTGTACATAGAAATATAGATAGAGTTACAGTACGACAAAACTAATAAATGCAGGGAAAGAAAAGGGACATGAAGATTCGCCTGGGTTCCTCAGGGAATTTGAAAATCATATTTGTCTCTTTTCCTCATCTCTCAGTGCCCTTTCTGGCACTTGGTCGTCACATGGGCACGCATCAAGATAATGAAATAGAGATGTGGGTTCGCGAGAGTTCCCACGGTTGCGTCTCTCCACCTCCCTTCTCTTCTCCTCTCCCGGCGAAGCGAGCGTACGAAGGAGCAAGAAAGGAGAGATGAGTGAATTTGTAATTACCATATGGGTGTGGACTTCAATTGGGGGCCCCTTCGGCGGAGTCATTTGGTGGCGATTTAAGTTCCACCAACAACTAGTCAGGGGGTTCCCCATTAAAATTCACGGCCGTATCTTTTGGAAACTCCGCCATCTTGTTCCTTTCCTTTCACCCTTTTGGCGGTAGGTGTTTGTTGCACGACCTGCCAATGGCTATCACACGCTTCGCCAAGATAATGCTGCCTGCTCTGATCTTTAGATCTTTGGCAGGGGTGTGCTAGGTCATGCACTTTGAAGCAAAGGCGACTTGCCACCAACCCATAGCTCATTTGATGCCCAAGTAAAGTCAACCAACTAGCGTTGATGCCCCACATATGCAATGCTGATAAGGGGTGGCAAACACGCAAGGTCGCACAATCTTAAGCCAGAACAAGTGAGCCTCAAGTGATGTTCTGGGCATGCTGAGATGTTCAGTGGCATGCGCTTTTCTTTTGAGCGCTCATTTGATCTCCGTTTCTCAACAGAACCGCATATACACAATGATTTCCGATTTGATTTCTGGAAGTTGCCTGGCTTCCCCATTGGAGCCCCAGAGACCCAGTTTTCGAGCTTAGGGTTAGGTTGGGTTTCTTTGGGCCAAGTTCCCCATGCTCCAGCGGGTGGTCTGCCATGTTGCCATGATGCTTAATGAGGAATCCCGTCCCAACAAAAGGTCCTAAAGGGGTGGACAGCAATCAGGGGTCAACTTAAAATTCGCACTGACACCCATTGATTTGTTGGGCCTGCGTTGCCCGAAGGCCCTCTCCCCGTGGCCCCAAATCTCCAGTCTCGTGCCTCGCCAGATCCCCAAGCCGGAGCACCGGCGCCGGTGCCGACCTCCGCCAGTGGGGCGGTGCCCCAGAAGTTGGCCGGGTACAAGGGAGGCGCGGGGGAATGGGGAGGTTCGTTCTGTGCTTGATTCACATTCCACTCATGAGCAATCCTGGCCGTCAATTTGGCTCAAGCCTGTGGTTGCTGTTGGCGCACAAAATGTCCATTGTTGGCGCGTAAGCATGCTCATTGTCGGCGCAGAAGAGTGTTCATTTTTGGCACAAGCGAGTACATTGTCGGCGCGCAAGAGTGTGTCTTTCGAAGTGATTCCTGTTGGGAGCTGTTCAGGACATTGCAAACTCCATGTGAATGTTGTTTTGGGCCTGCACTGGTATAATCCTTCCGGTTTGCAAATGATGGTAGAGTTTGTTCAAATTCTTGTCGGCACGGTCTAGGGTGAAACAAGGGCAATTTTAACTCTCAACTACCTCTAAAATGGAAGTTTGCCAACCATTTCTTGGGTGTTCCCCCTGTTTGAGATTGGTTGGAGGGTCTAAGCAAACTGTTCCACCCTGCTGAATGGATTGAACCAGCTTTGGGCTTCTGAAGGTCTCTGGTGGAATGAGTATTGCTGCTGCTGGCTCAAGGGGAACTTAGAACCACTACGCGCTGCTGTTCCCAAAGCTGCCCTCTTGCACGTTTGGGAGATGGCTGTCCGTGAAAATGTCCAAACAGGCAAACCTAAACCTTAGCCTATTTCATTCTGGTTGGTAATATGGTCGCAGCACGTTTGTCTCTTTGCCCTGCTTGTGCTGGCCCCGCGGTTGCAGAAACATTGGACCTGGGCCCAGAACTGAGCTTTGATGCTGCAACATCGAGGCCTTGCGTCCAAGCCTGTCCCAACATGTGAGCATTGCGGCATTGCCTTTTAGTCAGCTGGCCAAGCCTGATGCTGGCAGGACTGTGCTGAAACATGGCACGAGCCGCACAGACGCACAGACACCCGTATCGCTGCAAGTAGCCAGCGCGTGCCTCACGTAGCGTTGTCATCGCAATTGCATTCACGGCTAGACGCTCAAGCAATGAGCTTCGTGCTCCATGCACAAAGGGTTTCATGCCCAGGCAGCGCTTTTGCACGCGGTGAGTCTGCTGCTAAAGGCCATTTGAGAAGTTCCATAAATGTCCTATAGATCATACCCCCTGCGAAAGCCAAAACGCAGGCCGCAACATTTTGCGAAAGCTTGTCATGAAAGTGCCTAAAAAAGGTCCCGCCGCGAAAGCCCCGCGAAAGCCTGCATGTTGAGGCGGGAGTTGTGTTGCACAGTCTTACATTTGCGGCGCGCTCCTGTTTGTGGAAATCACTTTGCAGAAAGGCCAATGGCCATCGTCAAAAGGAACCTGCTAGGAAATCACTTTGCAGAAAGGCCAATGGCCATCGTCAAAAGGAACCTGCTGCTTCTGAGTTCATGCAGTCCAAAGGGTGTGTTTCAATAAGTCCGTTGCGAAAGCGCCGCGAAAGGCACGGCTCATTTGTGATGCCTTTATGTTTGCAGGGCAGGAGGTGATCTGCCCGCGTCGTATTCCTTGGATTCCTTGGCCAGCGAAAAGAACTTGAACACGACGCAGCTGACTGGCCAAGCTGTGCAGCCAGAGGAAAGTGATGTGTGCAAGGCTCGCTCTCGTTGAAACGTGCTATATGTCCATACTAATACTCGGCCGAAGAGTAAGGTAGGTAGCAAAACTACAAAATTCGATACCGGGGGGGAGGAACCCTACAATGTTCCGTTCGCTTTTTCCACACAGCTGGGTTACTGTCGCTGCTGTGGTTTCGGAGGCCGGTCACTTCTCCTGCAATCCTGCATAGAATTATGCAGTTCTCTAAGCTTTAACTTCTTTTAGGGCTGAGCTTCCCACGATGCCTGATTTAATCAGGGATTGGGGGGGCGGGGCGGGGGCTCTAAAAAGCCTGATTCGCAAGACCGAATCCTTACCAACCCGCCTCCCCCCACTTGCGCAGGGGCTCGACTCCCCCTGTGCCGCCCCCGGCACGCGCATATTCCCCATAATCTCGTCCACATGTTTGCAGCTGGGGAACCAGTCTTTCTAGACATTTCTAGTCCTAGCATCCTAGCAACACCTGAGTCGTACATGTCGTCGTTGGGCTGGCTAGGCTAGCTTTCGTTCACCCGCCTCTCCAGTTGGAATCAGTTTGGAGGAAAAACAACATATAAACACACCCAGCAGGTTCCATGCCCGCTCCAGCGATCTTGTTCTCCAATCTTTCTCCTTATTCGGTGTTGGTGGCTGTTTTGACTTGCAAGCGAGAAGACAAATCCAACTTGCACCCTTTTCTCTCCGCGCAGGCAAATGCCATGTTTGTCCCGGCGAAGCCGTCCGAAACTGGCAGGACTCTGCTTCAACACGGGCCACACAAGCAGGTGAGTCCGATCGCCTGCTTACGATGGCAACACGGTTTCAGAAAACATTGGCCCCGAAACTGAGCTTTGATCCTGCAAGTGGCTTTGCGTCCAAGTCCGCCCCAATATTTGAGTGTTACGGCGTTGACTCGATGCTGGCAGGACTGTGCCTAAACATGCCACGACCGCACCGACACCTCTTCAAGTAGCCAGACCGTGCCTCTTAGTGTTGCCATCGAATGTGAGACAGGGCAATTGCGTTCACGGCTCACACTCTCAATCAATGAGCGTAACAGGCTTTTGCCAAGGCAGCGCTTAGTCTGCTGCCAAATGCCGTTTGTGATGCGCTTGCATGTCTGGCGGTCGGCGCCGCATGGGGAAGTAATCTGCCCGCATCATTTTCTTCGGCTGGCGAATAGAACTTGAACACAAGCTGTTCCCGGACTCTGCCATCGCCTGTAACCAGACCAGGGTAGCATAGACAGGCACTTGGTCCTGAATTTATTCTTGTTGTAGGTTCTGCATTATGTGTTCCACGGATATGTTTTAAGCAAAACAGCCAAAAAGGACACCTATGGGAACATCTGAGGTGGCTGGACTCTGACTCAACATTGCACCAGTCCGCCATGTTTGTGGCTGTTCCGATCAAAACAACTCTGCTCCTGCCGTGTTTCAACCAAACCATTCACAGAAACGGACAAAAACACACCCTCCAAACTCTTTTGACCAAGAAAAGCTGCAACGAAGCTCACCAGATGAAAATATTCTTCGGGTTCCACACAACCTCTTGCAGAATCAGCCCGAACCTACCTGCTCAGGCCGGCCCCCCCGACCGATCTCCTCGTGCTCGAAGAGGCTGGCCTGAAGCTCCATGGCCCTCCACGGCCCGCTTGCAGGAAATGCCCCGTGCTTCGGAAGTCCATCTGAGCAACGGCCACTGCCCACAGGCTGTTGTAGGCAGTAAAGTGCAATATTAACATCAGGCAATGACTGTGAAGCAGAAGTACTCTCGATGCACTTCGGACTAAATCGAAGATAGTATCCCTTGATAGCTTGAAAGGACAGGCGCACGTGCATTTTGACAGTTGGTGGCTGTAAAACACCACCAATTTGAAGGGAAAAAACCACTGGAGTCTGAGTAAAACAGGCTCCTTCTCGGTGAGCAATGGGTCTGACTGTTTGCAAGTTCAAACACCAAAGACTAGCCACGTTTTGACTGCTTGACTTGAAGGGACAAAAGTAGACCAAACAAATAGGAACGAAGGCACCTCCGGGTCTGGTTTCCTTTCAGACCTTCCCCGAGATGTGGAACAGGCGAGGCAACACTTCCTGCGCAATCCCTGCGCAGAATTGTCCATGCTCGCCCCAGAACTCTTGCTTTGTCATCTTTCTCTTGAAGCCCATCTGATGGCGCCTGACTGGTCAAGCTTTGGGCGAACCCTGCATACATTTGGCGTTGGTGGCTGTTTGGACTGCATGTTCAAGAGCCGACATAAGCGCACACAGGTTTTCCCAAAACAACCGCAAAGGGCATTCTATGCCCCGATGGGGCCCATGGGGGAAGTGCACAACTTTTTGCAATGACTCGCTCAAATCCAACTTGCACCCTTGGCACTCCGTGCAGGCAAGGCCTGCCAATAATTTGCAACCTTTGCAAGCAAGAGGAGTGACAAGGCCTGCTTCCGCTCATGTGCAAGCATGGCAGCTGGCGCCGCCCGGGTGTCTGCAGTGCAGGCGGTGATCAGTGTGCCCTGTTTTTGCCATTGGAACCAACTTCAAGCCAAGATATCGTTCTGTAATACCAGGTGAGTTTTCTGCTGTCGATGGCTTGATCAACGAGCTTCATACGGTTGGCGTTTCACATGTTTGGCAACTCTCAGTGCACAGCAGGCTGCATGCTCAAGCAGTCTGCTTTCTTGCCGGCAGCTTTCATTTTAGGGTCCACTGATTTTCCGTGACAGCCCAAGGCTTTCGCGGAGCCTGCTTCCTACCCTGCGTGTGTTCAGTCTTGGTGGCCGTTCCGTGTTCATGTGCAAGCAAGGCAGCTGGCGCCGCCCAGGTGTTTGCAGTGCAGGAGGTGATCAGTGTGCCCTGTTTGTGCTTCTGGAAACGCCTTCAAACCAAGACATCTTTCCGTAATGCCATGTGATTTTGCCGCTGTCGACAGCTTGATCAATGAGCTTTATACGGGTAACAGTCTACATGTTTGGCAACAGTCCGTTCACAGCAGGCTGCGCACCCGTGCAGTGTTCCTCCGTGGTCTTGGTAGGCCCAACTGATTGCCCGTGACAGCGCAAGCCTTGCGCTTCCTACCCTGCGTGGATTCAGTGTTGGTGGCCGCTCCGCGTGTATTTGCAAGCAAGGCAGCTGGCGCGGCCCGGGTGTCTGCAGTGCCGGAGGTGATCAGTGTGTCCTGTTTGTGCTTTTGGCAACGAGTTCAAGCCAAGACAGCTTTCCGTAATTCCAGGCGAGTTTCCTGCTGTGGATAACTTGATCAGTGAGCTTCATATTGTGGATATTTCACATGTTTGGCAGGCAACTCCCTGCGCAGCAGGTTCCAAGCCCGCGCAGTGCACTTGCCTGTGGCCAGCTTGCGCGTTATGCACAACTGAGTGTTCTTGACAGCCTAAGCTGTGCGCGAACCCTGCTACCTACCCTCAGTGTATTCAGCGCTGGCGGCCGTTTGGCTGTTGTTTGCAAGCGTGGCGGCTGGCGCCGCACGGGTGTTTGGAGCGCAGGAGCTAGTCAGCGTGCGCTGTTTGTGCTATCTGAAGCGACTTCAAGCCGAGACATTGTCCCATGTTAGTTATCGTGATCAGCTTGCTGCTGTCGATGGCTTGATCAATGAGCTTCGTGTTGCTGGCCGGTCGTTGGCGTTTCGCATTTTCGGCAACACGTCTACTGCAGGCCGCATGCAAAGCCTTGGTTCAGACGTTGCCGGCTGCCACTTTGTTGCCAGTCGCGCCGCTGTGTTTGCGCGTGGTCCAAGCAGGTAGAGTCATTGGCTCAATCTCTGTACAACATTTGACATTTGCCCAATGACAGCTCAAGGCGCTCGTGCAGTGTCCGAAATGCAAAGCCAGAGATGCGCCGCAGTTCTGGCTTGTGGCCCATAGATGATGCCCCGTTGTGTTGTGACATGCTGAGTTCCTTGGCTGTGGGCGTGCGAGAAGAGCCCTGCAGATAGCGCCTATGACCAGAGGGTGGCATAGACACAAGCCTGGACTGTTTCAAAGGACTGTTTGCTTGCCAGGCGCGGCTGCATTTTGAGAGTTGGCGTGTGTCAGTTGTGTCATGGCTGGTGGGACATCTATCCTTTCTTGGCGAACTATTTTCAGACATAACGTTCCGGAAGGGCCAAGGAGCCACCACAAAACGTGGTAGGCGGCGCGTCGTAGCCATTGACAGCAAGTAGAAAACAGAAGCGAAGTGCGGATGTTTGGAATCCTACTTTGCAATGCGTTAAAATGGGTGAAGGAACGCTGCGGCCCACAGCAAACCAACCACGTTTGGAGGTTCCATGTTTAAACGAGGTTCTTCCCACAGTGGACTATTATTGCCACGTTCAACATCTGGGGTTCGAGTATTCAACTTGAAAACCCAGCTTCAGCTGCTACTGAGTCACGATTGGCTTTAACATGTTCCAGATTCTTTACCTGCACAAGGCGGTTGTTCCTTCTGGTTTCCACTCCGGGACCCAACTTGAGACCGGTTCGCACATTTGCGAAAAATGCAGACAAGACAGCCGGTTCCGCGAGGGTTATGCGAGAGTTCTGCCAGGGCGAGGGCTCCTGGGAACGCACAGGGCGGTTCTGACAAGAGTCCCGCAAGAGTTCCGCGCGGGTTGCGCGAGGGTTGCGCAAGAGTTCCGTGAGGTGTTCAGTGAGGATTCCGCAAGGGTTCCGCGAGAGTTCCGCGAGGGTTCATGGGCGGTCCAAGGAGGGTTCCGTGAAGGTTCTGCGAGGGTTCCGGGTTCTGCGAGAGTTCTGCGAGGGTTGTGCGGAAGTGTTTCATGAGGGTCCACAATGGTTCAGGGATGCGCAGAACGGATCGGCGGGGCCCCGTTCGGCAGCACACAGAGCACGAACAATTTGAAGGGCTGCTCCGTGCACTATATTGGTCGACGCCGCCATCATCGCGGCCGTTTTAGCAAAGAAAATAGCTTTGCGTTGGCTAAAAGTAGATTGCGCTGCGCTTCAATCAGCCCGAGGACGTTGAGGGTTTGCCGGTTTGCCCGGCTCTTTTGAGCTTTGTTTCCACGGTGGAATTATCCCGTCCGCGTCCATAGGTTTGATTCGATCGTTCCTACCACAAAAGCACCACCAAGAACACCGCTTTTTCGACGGACGAGCTAAGACAAGTAAACTGATGCGACCGTGACATTGCGCAGGCTACAGGACAAAGTCCTCGTAGACATAGTATCTAGTTAGATACTTGCACGTTCACCGGAGCTGCACATCCCCAATCCTCAATCTAGGACACGTTGTTTCACGGGGCTACTGCTAAGGTCTAATCTGAGCCTACGCTTGCCAGCAACCGATATACATTGCGTTCAGAGCTTGAAGCAGCCAGTTGGCACTCAGCATCAAGTCCTCAAACCAGGCAGCTGCAAGTCAAATTATGTACCAGAGCCTGGACAGATGCATCTTTGCTGTTTCTAGCGCTGTCCTTTTTCTGGCGCCCTAGTTAAGAGTGGTTTGTCCACGTAGAAACACTTAGCCGTTTGGTCAATGTTAATTTTACAGCCAAGTGGAGTAGGTCTGAGCGTTTCACAACTGAACAAAGTAGCTGCGTGGAACAAAGTTGACTGGAAGCTGTTGTGTCCAGTAGTTTGGACACAGGAGGTGAATAAAGCAAAGAGGGGGAAAAAGGCCATGCTTTCCCTTTTGCGAAAGGGACGGATTTCCCCCCCAAGCCCATTTCTCAAGGCTCAATGCACTTTCCGTGTACCCAGTGGTTCTTAGTGCAACCAACCGATTGGTAGGGGCCGGCAGCAAAACGATCCTTTGTTCTTTTGCACCAACTGTTTGGTTGCACTAGGCGCTGCAAATGCCGGTGCCGGGACGGCCGCGGCCGGCGCCCGCGGATTTCCCTTGGCGCGGCGCTCAGATTTTCCAAAACCAAAGGTCAATGGCGCCGCGTATTTGTTTGAGGTCGTGTTTGTTTTGTGCTTAGTTACTTGACGTATTTGTCCATTTGGTTGCACTGAGGAATGGGCTTGACTGGTAAATCAGGGCCCCCCACGTAAGTGCCCCACCAATGAAGACGGGTTGAACCGATTGTCTTCTCGGAGTTCCCTATAGTTTCCTTCTTTTTAGATGACTCGTGTTCAGTTCATCAGGACGTTATTTCATGAACTTCATATTTTATTGCAGCCTGTGTGTTTCTGTGATGTGACCTGCTTGTCTCTGTTTGTTCGGGATGAACGGCTTGATTGGCGATCAACTGAAACGACCTCACATGTCAAATGCCCTATCATAGATGTCGAATGATACGGACAGATCATTGTGCCACGTTGGTTGTGAGCAGCAGGCTACAGAGGACCTGTGCAGGTGGGTGTTGAACACTACAGTGCTGAGAAGCCGGCTGGACAGTCGAATGCCGCGTTTGGGACCGCGTTCACAAAACGGGAAGTGGAAAAAGCTCAGCTATCAACAGTGTAGTTGCCCGGCCAAAGTGATTCCAAACAGGTCAGCGGGTCCATCAATGGTCGTTTGAGATTGCCCTTTCGAGCATTTGTGATGCAATCAGGCAGTGTGAGACTGTTGCACTAGGGCTAAGGCGAGTGTCTAAAGCGAGGGAACATCTAAAGTGGGCAGTTGTCCTTGTGATGTCCAATCAATCAAACCAAGGCAAACAGGTGCCTTCGTAAAAGACACATCCACCTGGCACTGACATCATGTTGATTCCCTGTAAAACATCCCAAGCATCAGCATCCTGATAAATCAATGGTTCAAGTTTGCTAAATGCAACTGGACTGCTTTGGCGCCTAAGGCTGACGATTCACCCAGGGAAATGCCCCAGGCGCAAGGGGCCTTCGGGGATTCATGCTTTGACTCCCATGTGAACGTTTCGAGGCATTCTGAACATTCGCACCATGAGGGCAGCAATGAACACACCGGCTTGAGACTTTGCACGCTGCCTGTACCTTTCTGTCTTCCTCCATCTTCCGGAACTGGTGCTTCTTTTTTCGCCTGCCCGGGGCTTAACCCAGGTCAGGTGGCTGGTTGTTTGGTTGGCTGGCTGGCTGGTTGGTTGGATGGTTGGTGCGTTGGTGGGTTGGTGGGTTGGTTGGTTGGGCAGCCGCATCCCTGTGAACAAAGGGATGTCACTGTTTTGTCACAGACGCAAATTGGAGAAGTTTCCCAATCAAGTTATGTCATGACGAGGACTGGAACAGCTCCGTGGTGAAGGTGGGCTTAAGGTTGGCTTGGGCTGATTTGCGCTAGGTGCGGTGCATTTTTGCAGTAGCCAAGACCGGCCCTCATTGAGATCTCACCCGAACACCTCTCCACTGCCACCACGACCCTAGGTCCGAGTGAGGTCGGTGATGCAACCAACCTTCCCACCAACCAGCCAACCAGAGAGCCAACCAACCAAGAGACTGCCCATGTTTTGTCTGGCGGGGGGGGGGGGGTCCGGCAGAGGGTGTCTTTTTGTTAGGGGAGCCGCCAGAATGGTTGGTTGCCTTTCAGTTCCTTTACCCTCTGACAAAGACCGATGCGCCTAGCGGCAAACCCCAATCCGATCCAATCCGACAGGGCGCCCACGACGCACTGGCGGGCGTCTTGCTGGAGGGCTGCGGCGTGGAACGGGAGTCCCGGGAGGCGTGACCAATGCGGTTGGGCGTTTTGGCCATTTGGCCATGGGTCAAAATCCGGTACCCCCAGTGAACGTCCCAATCCCCATTAAAATCGACAAAAATTGGTGTTGCACCGACCCCAAAAATGGAAGCATTGGTTTTGACCCACAGCCATTTGTTTGCTGATAAGGGACTCTTGGAAGTGGAGGTGTTGGCAATTTTTGAGGTGATCAAGGAGTCCACAACAGTAGCAAGGTGACGGTGATTTCGTGCTCAGGTTCGAGAGCCTCGAGAGAAGGAGGTCAAAGAGCGAGATCGAGACCCCCGTGGCGCGGCGAAAAGGGGGGGAGGGAAGGGGGGGCTGGGCATCTTACAAAGCTGGGGGGTTGAGAGGTGATTTCAGGCAATCTCCAAAAGTTTGGGGGGTTGCCTTGTGAGGATTGATGAAATCCACGTTCTTTTCTTGCGGCGTTGCTCTGTTTAGTATTGCCAGTTCTACAGCGCAGGAACAGCGAGTTGCATTGGACAGGCATGCAGTGTGACACCTGGAACATGCTTTAAGGTAGGAGTCCAAGTGGTGGTGTTGGACAGTCCCAACAGCAACTTGGATTTGGCGTTCAGCGATTTTGTCACTCTGAGGGAGCCTTGAACGTGCACCAAAAGGCAGAGTTCTCTTTGCCGCTTTGCTTGTCGTGACACATCCGTTTAGTTGGGCTCCCGACCTGCACTGGAACTTGTCAAACCAAGGAGGTGAGTGCTGGACGAACTGACAACTGAGGGGCACCCTCGACCAAGCGCAAGGGGAAGTTCTGGAATTGGAGGCCTTGCGCATCATCAGACACCCAAGTACGCCCAAGAACGATGAATAAATTCGAGCTTGGCTTCAACCCGAAAGCTGAGGCGAGTCTCCCGTCTACTCAGGCACTGGCCGGGGCAGTTCTGTGTGTGTTTGTTTGTCTGCGTGTTTGCGGTTGTGTGTGTGTTTGCGTTTGTGTGTGTGTGTGTTTGTCTGCGTGTTTGCGGTTGTGTGTGTGTGTGTGTGTTTGCGTTTGTGTGTGTGTTTGGGCTTGTGTTTGTGTTTGTGTGTGTGTGTCTGTGTGTGTGTGTGTGTTTGTGTGTCTGTGTGTCTGTGTGTGTGTGTGTGTCTGTGTGTCTGTGTGTCTGTGTGTCTTTGTTTATCTGTGTGTGTGTGTCTGTCTGTCTGTGTGTCTGTGTGTGTGTCTGTATATTTGTCTGTGTGTGTGTCTGTGTGTCTGTGTGTTTGTGTGTCTGTGTATCTGTGTGTGTGTGTCTGTTGTGTTTGTGTGTATGTGTGTCTGTGTGTCTGTGTGTGTGTGTGCCTGTGTGTTTGTGTTTGTTTGTGTGTCTCTGTGTGTGTGTGTGTTTGTGTGTGCGCGTGTGCGCGTGTGTGACAAAGTTTACGTTGCCACACACAGGTCCTGAATTCCTTTCAGGGTTTGCGTTTTTGAGGGTACTGTTTTGGGGTGGTTAAAGACATTTTTGGAGGTCCCCCTTTTTTGACACACAAACATCCACGCTCAATGCTTGAACCCCGGAGGGGCACGACCGTATTATGGCCACTCTCAACTGCCCGCCCATGTTTTTCCGAGTCTTGTGGTCCTGTAAGCGTTGCATGGCCAACAAGCGAACACAAGCGAGCGTCAAAGAAGCTACAGACCGCGTTGACTGATTCGTCACGGACAGCCTGACTTGGCGGCCTGGGGATGCGACTGGGGATTTTTGGGTTGCCTTGAGCCCGAACCCGACAAAGATCTCAAACCAAATCGTGGGGGTTTGCCAGGCGAAACGCCCGCGTTGCCGGGGGCCGTGCCAAGCCAAAGCATGAGCGCGCAAGGCGCCTGGGCTTTGGGGCGTCGGCTATTCTCAAAGGTGAGGCTGAATCAGAAATGTGAGAGAAGGTTAGCGAAACATTCACAAGCATGAATAAGTTGCTGCGGATATCCACCCTGTTGATTGTCTAATTATATACACGGTTTGCGTTCCAGGTGTTGATGATGAATCGTATGTATCTCAACACGTGAATCTCTCTGCTCAAGTTTTCCACCGAGTCACGCATCAAGCCCCTGGGTTGCCAATCTTCAGTGAGCTTCGGTCGTGATTTTTGAGGGATAATGGCACTTCAAGCAATGATTCAACGAACAAATCTTAGCTCAAAACCGGCAGACCAGGCAAAACTTTTGCACCAGCATTCTGTCGCGCGGTGTGGCCGTGCCTGATCGTCGCCAGGTAGGGTGCGGAACCCGACGACCTCCTCGCGGGCGCCAGCCGCCGGGAGCCAAAGAAGACATGCCGGGATGCATCAAACTGTGAAGCTGTGATGCGAGAGTTGCGAAAATAATTTCTGGGAGAAACACACCCACACCACACACACACACACACACATCTTCCCACGCACCTTCCCACGCACGCACTCACGAAGTTGTGCGCGTGTGTGTCTCAAAAGGATAATGGCTCAGGATTGGCCAAGCCTCCACTTTGACCAGACTTGTTACGCGCATCGTCTTGGATGGCCACTTTTGGGGGTCGAAAAGGAGATTCCTCTCGGGGTTTTTGGGTTACCGGGACCGAGGCGCGCCTGAAGCAGCAGCTTCAGCAGCTCATCAGCCAGCGCCCGATCATTGCTCCCAAGGCCCCGGGGGCGGGGGGGTGGGTGGGTGGGTGGGGAGGTGGGTGGGGAGGTGGGTGGGTGGGTGGGGAGGGGAGCATGGTTGCCCTTATCCCTGTTGTCTCATGAGCATCACCTGAATGTACAAGCGAGTTTCGCTTTGGACTATGGTCCCGGCATCCAGAAACAAGCCCAGCGACGGTGGTATGCCCAGAAAGCCTGTCAGACAAGCGCTCACAGGCAAGCTTGATTGCTGCATAGCTTCTGGAAACTAATGCTGAGCATCAAGCTACCTGGAGTCGAGGCCGCTCTCGGCCTTGCACCGAATCTCCCAGCTTTGTTGCCCACTCTTGACGCAACTTTGGTTGGCAATTTAGCACGGAGGGTTGCTTAGGCCTCAACACCTAAAACCTACCACATCAAACCAGAGCAGATGCCCAACCTTTGTCTTTGTACAGATCTATCCGGGCTAAGGTTCGATTCACATCCTGTCATGTAAGCTTGCAACAACATAGTTTAACGTTAACGCCACGTGCTTTGGCACCCAGACAGTTTCTCTTCGGGTCTTGCTCACTTGTGAATGAGCAGCCGAACCATATTCCAGACAAAATGCCTCGAATATCCTGCTTATGTGGTGTGGAAGATTCGCGGTGCAGAGTTCCTGCCAAAAGATTGTCAAACCTTTTGAAGATTTCAAACATCTCTCGCAATGGACCAACCTGAATTGCAAGTTCGGTTAAGGTATTTGATAAGGGAAACTGCAGTCTCGTGCAGCCCGCGAAATGAAAATTGGAAAACGCGGAGGGCCGGCTCTACCCAAATGGACACGATATTTGCTCGTTGGAGCATTTCAAAGTGGTTGTGGCCACGAATCCCCAAGTAAGCAAATCATATTTGTTTGATGTCCACCTTTAGAAGGACATTTCCACAGGCGCGATTCCTACCCAAAAAAAGCGTTCCTGAGGGCTGCTTTTGAGGTGGGCCGAAGTGGCTCGGTGCCGCGGAACGGGAACTCTGAGCCGTCACAAGGCGAAGCGGGACGGGACCTGTCTTGACATCACGTGTGTGTGTGTGTGGTTCACAGAACGACCAGAATCTCAATATGACTTGAGTTGGGCCACAGCTCAGGTAAGGGGAGGATAGGAAGCGTGGCAGGGTGAATTTCAGTGGGGGCGCTTTCGTGGACATTATGCACATTGGGGATTTTTGTCCATCAATATTTTTGCAGCTTGTGCCAGCCATTGAAATTAACGACCAAGTTTTAATTAGTTTTCTTTGCTTTCCCTTGCGCAAGAACCAACAAGGGGTTGCTCCAGAAAAGACACGCCCAGCCGGTTCATTTGAGGGTGTGTGTGTGTGTGCTTTTGAGGCCTCCCTTCTTGGAGCGGTTTAAAGAGAGGCTAAAAGGACACCAATCTGAGAAAGGAAGGGGTTCTCCGATTTCGACACATGGGTGGGTGTGTCTTTCTTTGAGGGTACCGCTGTGTGCGTTAAATAAAAAGTAAACAGGCGGAAAACCGCTAAATCCATTTTGCGGGGTCCCCCTAGACAAGGCGAGCCACCCTCATGTGCGCAGGGCATGGCCTGAGCGGCCTGGTGGGCTCCGCCCTCCAAGTGCGCTCTGACTCCAAGGCTGCCAGGCCACTCGGGACGTGCTCAGCGACTGTGATTTCCGTTTGGGTCCACCAAAGCAAGATCAAACTACAACATGAGTGAAGAAGTGTGTGTCTGTTTCCGTTTCTTTCTCTCTCTTTCTCTCTGTCTCTCTCTCTCTCTCTCTCTCTCTCTCTCTCTCTCCGTGTTTGGGTGTGTGTGTGTGTTATGTCTGTGTTTGTGCATGTGTGTGTGTGTGCGTGTCACTGCGCAACGCCTGCGTGCGTGAGTCTGCACGTGTGTTTGTGGTTGTGGTTGTGCCCCTGCTGTTGTTTCTCTCCGTGTTTGTTTGTTTGTTTGTGTGTGTGTGTTGTGCATTGTGGTTTGTGCTTGGTGCTTTGTGCTATGCGCTGTGCGTTGTGTGTCTTGTGTTGTTTTGTCATTTGTCTTTGTTGTTTTTATTTTGATGTTTGTTTCTTGTGCTTGGGTTTGTGCTTGTGCTGTTGGTTGTGCTTGTGTTTGCGTTTGGCTTGCGTGAGTTTGTTTGTGTGTCGAAGCGGGCTAGGGGGCAGTTAATCCGTCTCAAACAGAAGCGACCACATGATGCAAGCCATTTGGAAGGGTTCCTAGTTTTCATAACTTGTCACAATGCCACACGTGCGATTGTTTCTCCCCGTGTTCCATTCCAATGAGCTCCTTCTTCGGGGGTCAGCGCCAATGACCCTTCCTGCAAAAAGCCGCTGTCAGCGAGGGAAACTCGGCAAACCGACCACTTCCTTTTCGGCAGGAGGCGATCCTCTGATTCCTAGTTGCTCGCGACTCAGACAGCGATGTGGCTGTGGGTCAAAATCAATGGTACCATTTCGGGGTAGGTGCACCCATTTTCGTCTATTTTAGTGGGGATTGGGATGTTCACTGGGGGTACGGGGGTTTTGACCCACAGCCATGTGACAAAGCATTTTCAGCGAGTTGATTGCAAAGCAACTGAGCGCATGTTGACAGGTGCCTCAGAATGTTTGAAGGTTTTGCATTGAGAAAGCTGGCAAGGCTCAGAAGTTTCACTGATGGCTTGCAGATGATCTGGGTCTTCCTGATATTGCCTGTGTGGTAGCTGCCTTGGTTGGCGTGGACAAAGAAGCCAGCAGTGGGTCATCCCTGTGCCATCTTCCTTCCGAAACCTTTTCGTCCTCGACCCACATGTTTGTTGGTGACCTCTGAAGCAACCTCTTCAATCATCGTTCAGGTTACCGTTTTGGCCACTTGTTTTGTTTTAACTTGTTGGGCACCGATTCGGTAACCATTTCGTTCAGGGCTGAACTCTTTGAGCGTTCCTGGCCACTCCGAGCGCATCTGAGGCCAGAACTTTTTTGCGGCGCAAGCGCTGCTGAAGACACCGGCGGCATGTCTCTAGAGATGTGGGACCCCGCCAAATGTTCGGTGAACATCCACCACAGACGGGGTCTCCCTACGCCGAAGCACCTTCACTGGTTCCCTGCCTTCTTTCCAGGGACAAGCTGAGAGTTGACATTTTCAATCTCCCGGGGGTAAATAAAGGGGTTCTCAATCACCAGAGGAGAAGACCAGCCCCTAAAGCTTGACTGAATGCCCTCAGCCAGGAATTCCTTAGGTGCAGGTGTGCGGTTTGCAGCCGAAGGCCGCGCTGCGGGCAATCGCCCAACATATTTTGCGCCTGTTGCCAGGCTTCAAGTCACGGGCCAAATCTCACAAGCCCCAACCTTGCGCTCCTAAGGAGCTGCAGATCTAGAGCCCAGTTTCCAAGATCCCAGGTGCCAATCCGTTCCTTATTTAGTCCTAAGCCTTTCAATGAGAAGCTGCCAGACACGAATGGCAGACTGCAGGATTTGCTGACAGGAACGGGTATTTTCTTCGTATTGTAGAAGCCGGATGCAGCAATCCGGAAGAGCAGTCATCACAATCACTCTATTATTTGAAACAAGTCACCCAGGCTTCCTGTTTTGGCCCCTGTTTGCTTGGTTTAACATTTAAATTTGAAAGTGGAACGGAGGGGGAAGCCGGGTTGCTCGCCTGGGTGCTAAATAGCCAATATTCTTTGCTCAACAAAAAGCAGAAGGGCATGGGTATGTTTGAAATCCAGAAGGGGATCACCAATGGGTGTTTTGTTGTTGTTGGTTCCCCTTTTTGGTTGGTTTTAGAGGGAAACGAAAGGAAAGCAGTTAAATCCATTTTGGGGTTCCAAACCCAAAAAACAAGCCCAGATGGCTTTGCTGTTTTTTCAGCCCCTTGACACGTCACACCTGGGAGATCTTGGAACCGAGCAAAAGCTGCCGGTTGCGAAGGCAGCCCGTCTTTCGGACGCGAGACCCGGACGATTCCTCGACTCGTGAAGACGCGAAGGTCCCTTGAGAGGTGCCTTGAGAGGTGCGCGGCTTGGGTCCCGTTTCTAGAGGTCCCTGCCATCGCCTGAAAGGGAAACCGAGTTCTCAACTTCGGTGATACAACACTTTTTAGGAAGGCTGCGGAGGTGTTTTCGGAAATGCAGAACCTCTGAAGCCGGTTACATTGATATTTTGTTTGGTTCCGCTTTCAAAGCATCCATTGCAGGGCTCCGTATTGGAGGACCCAATTGAAGCAGAAGGGATTCTTGGCAGCTCTTTGGCACAGAGCAACAAGTCCAGTTCGGTTTGGGCAAGATGTCTGTGAAACTGGGGAATCAGCCCTTGTCCCAAAGGAGTCCTTCTAGCCCGGCTTGTGCTTTTTTGCAGCACTTGCGCTTCATCTCTGGAGTTCACGGAGCTCTCCTGAGAAAGTCCTCTTCCCAATGATGTGCTTTTAAGTGACTAGGGGAAATTGCCAAAAGTCGCCCTCTGCTTGGTTGGTTGCACCCAGCGAAATCTTGTCTCGACCCTCTTTCGGCTCGAGTTTTTTTGGGGACTCCGGGCTTCTCCCCCCCAAAGACGGGGTGTCCGAGCTGATCAATGCCCGCGCCACCCTCGATTCCGAGAGCCACCACCAGCGGTTGCCCCAGCGTGGGAAAGTTTGCATGTCTTGTGTATGTGCACGTGGGTGTGCGTGTGTGTGGGTGTGAATAAGTTGCTGCTTGGGCTCGGGTTGCTGTTCCGACTTGTGATATCTGGAATATGTTCGGCGCGAGGTGCCTTCAAGATGCTGCAAAAATGGCTACCAATTCGAAGCAACATCCAAGTCTGTTTCTTCCCGACTGCCTCTGTCGAAAACAAGCTATCGTCAGGGCACCAAAGTGGTTCTGCAGAGTGTAGCGCATCTCAGGTGGGATCGAGCCGATTGTGTACCCGGCTGGCACCTTACAACACCAACTCACCGCCAGCTGTGGAACGCTGCGTGCACTCGACTTGTTTATTAGTTCACATTGTTTCCAGCCCAGTGTGCCTTCTATTTTGCAGCGATGCCGTGATTGAGCTGGAACCCGAGAAGCCCATGGGAAACGCCTTTTGGCGGAGCCCCTGCGGCTCCTGCCACTAATTCGGATGTGTCTGATTTTCGGGGAAACATGGGAACTTTAAAAGAAGTTTGGGTTTTATTTGGTTTCCAACTTAAAGTCCTTCCAAAAGGGGGCACAGAGCCTCAAAATCCTTGTGGTTTCCCTTCAAAAGCCTTCCAAAGGGTGTCCCCCCTAAATACAAAGACCGACCCATTTGCGGCGGACCCAGCGAGGTGCCGGACTTCTTCAACGCCTCAGAGGCACCTCGCGCGGCCCATGCCGAGGAATCGGAATCCGAATGGATTTTTGGACCAAACAAGCGCCTTTCCGCCTTTTTGCCAGTGTTTGCAAAGGCTTCGGAAGGGCAAATCGCATAATAAGAGCTTGTATACAATGAGTTATATAACTATATATAGTGGTTGTTTTACAGTGCACAATTTTGAATATTGAGATTTGTTCATAAGCTCTTGGACCCTGGCTCACAAAATTGGCCTTTCGGCCTTTGATTAACTATTGGGAAGATTGCAACCTGACAAGTGAACAAACAAACCATCAAACAAACAAATACACAACCAACCAGCCAACCGAGCAACCAAGCAACCAAGCAAGCAAGCAACCAAGCAAGCAAGCAACCAAGCAACCAAGCAACCAAGCAAGCAACCAAGCAACCAAGCAACCAAGCAACCAAGCAAGCAACCAAGCAACCAAGCAACCAAGCAACCAAGCAAGCAACCAAGCAACCAAGCAACCAAGCAACCAAGCAACCAAGCAACCAAGCAACCAAGCAAGCAAGCAAGCAACCAAGCAATCAAGCAACCAAGCAACCAAGCAACCAAGCAACCAAGCAAGCAACCAAGCAAGCAACCAAGCAACCAAGCAACCAAGCAACCAAGCAAGCAAGCAACCAAGCAACCAAGCAATCAAGCAACCAAGCAATCAAGCAACCAAGCAACCAAGCAACCAAGCAACCAAGCAAGCAACCAAGCAACCAAGCAACCAAGCAAGCAACCAAGCAACCAAGCAAGCAACCAAGCAACCAAGCAAGCAACCAAGCAACAAAGCAAGCGACCAAGCAACCAAGCAACCAAGCAAGCAACCAAGCAAGCAACCAAGCAACAAAGCAAGCAACCAAGCGACCAAGCAACCAAGCAACCAAGCAAGCAACCAAGCAACCAAGCAACCAAGCAACCAAGCAACCAAGCAAGCAACCAAGCAACCAAGCAACCAAGCAACCAAGCAACCAAGCAACCAAGCAACCAAGCAACCAAGCAAGCAACCAAGCAACCAAGCAACCAAGCAACCAAGCAACCAAGCAACCAAACCAAGCAACCAAGCAACCAAGCCAAGCAACCAAGCAACCAAGCAACCAAGCAACCAAGCAAGCAAGCAAGCAACCAAGCAACCAAGCAATCAAGCAACCAAGCAATCAAGCAACCAAGCAACCAAGCAACCAAGCAACCAAGCAAGCAACCAAGCAACCAAGCAAGCAACCAAGCAACCAAGCAAGCAACCAAGCAAGCAACCAAGCAACCAAGCAACCAAGCAAGCAACCAAGCAACCAAGCAAGCAACCAAGCAACCAAGCAAGCAACCAAGCAACCAAGCAAGCAACCAAGCGACCAAGCAACCAAGCAAGCAACCAAGCAACCAAGCAACCAAGCAACCAAGCAACCAACCAAGCAACCAAGCAGCCAAGCAACCAAGCAACCAAGCAATCAAGCAACCAAGCAACCAAGCAACCAAGCAACCAAGCAAGCAAGCAAGCAACCAACCAAGCAACCAAGCAGCCAAGCAACCAAGCAACCAAGCAACCAAGCAACCAAGCAACCAAGCAAGCAAGCAAGCAACCAAGCAACCAAGTAACCAAGCAAGCAACCAAGCAACCAAGCAACCAAGCAAGCAACCAAGCGACCAAGCAACCAAGCAAGCAACCAAGCAAGCAAGCAACCAAGCAAGCAACCAAGCAACCAAGCAAAACCAAGCAAGCAACCAAGCAGCAAGCAAAGCAAGCAAGCAAGCCAAGCAACCAAGCAAGCAACCAAGCAACCAAGCAACCAAGCAAGCAAGCAAGCAATAAAGCAAGCAACAACCAAGCAACCGCAACCAAGCAAACCAAAGCATCCAGCAAACAAGCAACCAGCAACCAAGCAACCAAGCAACCAAAGCAGCAACCAAGCAAGCAACCAAGCAACCAAGCAAGCAACCAAGCAACCAAGCAAGCAACCAAGCAAGCAACCAAGCAACCAAGCAAGCAACCAAGCAACCAAGCAAGCAACCAAGCAACCAAGCAAGCAACCAAGCAACCAAGCAAGCCACCAAGCAACCAAGCAAGCAACCAAGCAACCAAGCAAGCCACCAAGCAACCAAGCAA